ACTTCTTCATCGTCCGTTAACAGTTTAAGCTGTTCTTGTTGGGGCTCAACATTATCCGTAAATGTTTCCTTCGTTGCAGTAGTCTTACTAGTTTGTGGAGGTAATTGGGGTCTAAGCCGGTTAAGATAGGACAGTTGAGCATTTTTATGTTTAATATTATTATCATGAAGAACACGTGCAGCATGTGGCTGCTCTTTAACATATAAATGTTTCGGAATTAGAATGAATTCTTCAGCAGTCATCATTAAGTTGTGAGGTACTTGTAACAAAAATAAAGTATTTGTCGAACTAAATGGAAGCCTTCTTTACTCAAAATAATCGCACGTTTTTTGACAACACTGGTTTTTGGAGTTAATAAGTATTTGTATGCTGTCTCGAATCGTTCGATGTTTGCGATTTTAACGGGTACGTTTCCATTGACTACATTGAGCAAACATTCACAAACAAGTGTTATGATCTCACGATTTGAAGTTTTTCTAATTAATCTTCTTAGCTGGTCAGGTTTCAGTTGTACCATATGCCGCAGAATAGATAAGTTTTTCTTTTTCATTTGTGATTGGAGTAGTTTCTGCTTCAGATAAGGGTAAATAAAAAACTGTTGGCCCAGGTGGTGTGATATTTGAACAATATCTCAAACAATCTGATGTACGGGGGTCCAAGTCGATTAGAAGATGTCCAAAAGAGTCTCTGGTAGCTAATTCGTAACAGTTTCTCAAAAATTTTGATACATTCAATTGTCTTCCTAATAGATCTAGTTGCTGAACGTCGCGAGGCGATTTGAACAGAATGATGTGTGAAGTGTTCAAATCAATCGTACGCGACCATCGACTTTGTTGAAACAAGTTATGCTTAACATATATTACATCTATCCCTCTATGTCTACCCGCTGTCGCTAACCTAACAAATTCCTTGTCATTATAGATGTCTTCACATGAATCATCGAAAACTAGAAGAACATTTTCTAATTTTCTCACAGATTCGAATCCGTCGAATTTCATGAACTCCATATTCACTTCGCGAGAAGACACTTTTTCTGAGAATGCAGGTTGCATCTCTTTGTAAAGATATAGAACGGTTCCAAATTTAGGGTAAAAAGTATTTCCCATCAGAAGTTTCAAAATTAACTCAGTTTTCCCGGATCCTGAAGGTCCCACTATCGCCATAAAAATTCTTGTCGAAGTATCAATCACTTTATTCATATTCTTGGGTTTGGTAGTACGTAACCAACCAAGCCTGATAAAATCGAGAACCAAACTGACGTTTCTTCGCAACTTAATTTAGTGAAAGAAAGTTTGAGAATGCAGAAAGTTAGTAAAATTAGAATTACTACCATTTGCGCAACAAAAACTACTTCAGACCTTGGCAAAGTTACATTGTTACAAAACTTCCATGATTTTTTTTCACTGTTTGTCTCGTTATAAACAAACTCTGTTACTAATGTTGCGTCAGGTTCATCTACTGCTGTTGTTGCTTCTGACATTTGAGAAACTATTTATTCTACAGACTGCGTTAGACTTTTTCTCTCTGCGAATGAAGCTTGTAAAAAATTAAATTACTTTTGAGAACAGTAAAAAATTTCATAACGTGTGAAATCTCTATCATTTATGTCATGCATTTCTAAAACAAAGTTTGCTGGGATATTTGCGGTTTTTTTGTAGTACATTATTTTCTTCACAGTATCCTCTTTCACAATCGTCTTAATCTCATCTGGCAATTCACTGCTGTTTAGATCCATCTGAACTCCTGGCTGACGTTTGGGTACTAAGACTAGTTCGGGAAGACATACTCCTCGCTTGCTGGCTAACATTTCTGATAAACTTGAATCTCTGGAAGTATACAAATTGATCAATAACCGGAAAAAACCTCTTCAACGTAGACAACTCTTCTTCGGAAATTATTATTTGCTCCTTCCTCTGAACAATTTGGCCACTGCAATCAATACGCTCTATTCTCGTTAATGAAATTTTAATATCACCCTCTGGAGTCATCCACGCACAAAGCATTGAATTTTGTGATAGGTATGTCTCCACTTTCGCTGATCTCTCGCTGTTGTTCATTTTTCAACCAATCATAAAAAACCTTGGTTTTCTTCAAGGCACAATGATTCCTGGAGTTGTAATGTGGAATATGTTTATTGCAACTTGGATAATTTTTAAAATATAAGTTTTCAACCCGAGGACAGCCCAAATCATCTAGGTTTTCAATCTTTCGGTCCAAGTACTTGGCCAAAAATTCTGTCTTTTCTTTTCCTTTAGCGTAAAAAACGGCACCAGGATTTCTCAGCACAAAACTCTGAAGTATTTGATTCAAGTTTATATAAAGATAATCACCGTTTTCCCAATGGAGACCGTGTAAATAATTAGTTAACCAGTTGTAAGCTTTTTGTTCAAGCTTTGGTAGTATATTGAAATTCACTGGAGGTAGGAAAATGAGTCGATCGCTGTAGTCTGAAGTTGTTATTGCTAATTCTTTAACCACAAAGGCGTTTTTCTTGTAACGAAAGCCTTCCACGTCAAGCACAACTGATCTCTCGCCTAGCATTCTAGTAAATGATAAACTTCTGGTTTTTTCAACTTAATGAAAAGGCAGAACGCTATTCCACTCAAATGTCCCAATAAGCTGTTGTTACAGTTCCAGGGCAACATGTAACAGTACGTGGGACCCTGTTGATAAAATTCGTGTATAAATCCGGCCGCATCGTGCAAAATAGCGTGCAATCGTAAAATTTTGGAATTTTTCAAATATTTGTCCAAGGAAGAGTTATCAATACCAATCAAGCCACCATAAGGTCTCAACTTAATTAAAATGTCGTAGTTAAGGTTATCAGAACTAACAAAAAACAGAGAACATGCAGCTAGAAAATAGTTGCGTCGGTTAGAATTATCAGGATAAGTTTGTTTCAAAGACGTATAAATTTCGTGAATTATTTTCAAATCAATAGGAGTTACTCTGCTTTTTTGCAATTTCATTATTTATTTTTTCCAACACCTCTCCAACCTGCTGAATTTCAAGCCAGTGGAAATAAAAGTGACCTTGCAAATACCATTTAGACTCATTAAGATAACGGTGGTAAATAATTAAATAAACCACCGGAAGTTTTTTGTATTTTGATAGCTTGTTGAAACATAGACGGATTTTTCTCTCCAAGTCTTTATCAACCCATAATGAGTTAAAGTCAAACGAATAGTCGAAAACGTTTTCATAATCAGCAATATTCAAATCGCTCACAGTGCCATACTTTTGTTTTGTAGAAATGCACCAAGAGATTTGTTGAAGCTCACTCAAATAAAATTGTTCTTTGAAAATCAACTCGTATTCTTTCTTTGAAATTTCCTTTGCCCTTTCGAGGAAGACGACGTAGCGTTCATTACATAATTTGAAAAATGAGTTTTTTTCTGCGGTTGAAAACACTCTTAATTGTAAATGTTCATTATCAATATCTTCAGTACACCAAGTTCCCTCTAATTTCATTTTTCTTATTTCAAAATTTGACAATTTTATCATTTGGTATATTTTGCCCAGAAACGGCCGCCGCCTTTTGAGAGTAATTTCAATTTACTGCCTTTTCACCATAAAATTTAGGTCAAGTTAAGGAATTAGTTTACTGCTGCCAACAGTTAAGCTACGCTGCCAAAATGGCCGGCGAATTTTTATTATATACCATAAAAGTCAATTCCCCGTTCACTAACAAATTTCAACTAGGTCGAAAGTTCATTTACCCTAAACAAGCATAACAATTAATATGATTCATATAATTAATCAGGACCAATAATTAGGACCCCAAAATTTGGAATTAGAAAGATTTTTGTATCGTGTCCCTTGTTGTTAAGCTAAACTTAGCAAGATCCTAAGTAGGGGGTCTTCTGCTTTTTGGGTGGAAAATCTCTTTCGTTTACAAAATCCTAGGATGAGGGTCCTCCAAAAAATTAAGGACCCCTTTCCTAGGATTTTGCTTTACGTGAGGACCCCCCCCTTAGGAAGGACCCCCCCCTTAGGATCCGGGACACGATACAATACTACTTGCAACTACCATTTTTGCTTGCAAAGCCACCTTGAAATAAAAACTTTTCAGTAAATAAAAAACTTAAGTTGCAAATCAAATTAATTTTTTAACGTTGCATTGCATCATCTTTAATGCTTAAGCGATGAATTTTTTTTAAATGACTGAAATCTTTTTTGATATTATTACTTAAAAAGGTAGTTTAATAAAAGTCCTGTTATAAAATGCATATTTTCGCGATCCCTCTTGATTTGCTGTTGTTTTACAAAAATGCCTTTTCGATGATTTTTGTTTTTGTAACTCAAATTAGAAATTTTCAGGGTGCAAAACAAAGCATCAACGTCAAGATTTTTTCTTGCTACGACTATTTTTGGTGATCGAAATCAGTGTGTGTGTGATTAAAAATTTTAATTAAAAAATGTATAGCAAATTAGTACAGTTTTTGAAAAGTTTCTACTAAAAATTGGTCTTTTTTATGCGCTTCATCCAATTGCAACTAAATTGTCTCAATTTTACAATGAAAGGCAAGATATTAAATCTTGACTGATCAAGACAAAGCAGTTTTTTCGTATTTTAGCCTCAAACTGGGTCGCAGTTTTTTCGCTCTTTTTTTTGCGGTTTTCGCACATAATTTTGAGACTTTGAGGCACATAATGCATTTTATTGTCATTTAATTTGTGTTTTGGCATCATTCGAGGGTAATTAAATGTTCGGGATTATCATTATTGCATTTCTAAGCAAAATCGGTCCAATTTTGTTTTAAAAATTTTTATTTTTTATCATTAGGGAGGTATAAACGAAAATATTCAATTTGAGGGCTACTGATTGTTTTTTGCGCGGAGTGAGAAACAAAATAAGGTAAAAAACAAGCTAATCCACATGTCGCTTCTCTTTAATTTCTCTCGCTTCTCTCGATTATAAGCTTTTGCAGACAACTTTGCAGATTAAACTAGTAAATTTTTTATACTGTGATGTCCAATTTAAATTTAATACGTTTTATTATGTACAATTTATAGAAAGTTCCGAAAAACGAACATACATGCCTAATAGTTTTTTTCAATAACAAGAATAGTTTAATGTTTCCATTAAAAATTGGCATCGTTCGATTTTCATTAAAATTTGCTCAAACCTATAAAATATTTACAATATCCTCGCCATCAAAAGACATTAAATGGAATTGTTCTTGGTAAATATCTTTTTCTGAAAAGATGCTTCATTTTTTTAATCCATTTCGCACAAATATTGTATAATTTTTTTCCGATTTGAAGATGATTTATTGAAATGTTGATCGTTTCTTTTTGCTGCTTGTTCAAGTCATCTCCGGTTGAGATGTGTTGTGGTTCGCCGCCGCATTACTTGGCCCCCAGTTTGGCCTTGAAGATTTCTGCAGTCCTCAGGTCGTATGTCTTGTTGATGGTCCACTCGACCCCGTCTCCTGGGTCCTTCCACAGGTTGCCACGCCCTTCGCCCCCTCTGAACACAAAAGTAACAGTATTGTGAAAAAGTTTCTGGAGTTTTTATGCAACTTTTAGACATCTATAATTTTTGCTAAAATGCAGGCAGTATCTTTTTCGGTCAACGAATTATAGAGAAGTTAATTAACCTAAGCATGTTCATTTAGAAGACGGAAATTAAGTGAAAACATCATTCAGAAAAATGCCCAAAACTGTCCAAACACCTGCCAAAAATATTTCAACCAAAAAATCACGTTTATCATCCCATTATTTTGTAATTCTAGGACCGCAAGCAAAAAAGAACAATTAAACCTGACAATTTTGAGAAACAGCATTTCTGTTCAATGTCTCTAAAGAACTTTTTTAAAATAACTCTTATTCTGGATATAATTCTTATACATAATTGTTGCAACTTTTTCTTCACGTTTTGTTTATTTTCTCTACAACTGTTTAAGATACAGGGTTCAATTTTTGACAAAAAGTAGACAAAACTATTTGAAAGGGCTTAACAGGGCCAAAATTTGATAAACATTGTTTTGAAGGCGAAAATTAGCCAGCATATGATAACTAATTTAGAGGTGTTCTTGTTGTGAAAACAACCTCACAATTAATACGAGAAATTTGAATTTTTGGGCTCAAATTAGTTCTCTGGGAAGCTGATGAGCTTGTCTTATTCGGTATGTTACTTAAAAATGACAACTGACACAATTAACAGAGTTACTTCGTCCGGCGTCGAGAAACGGTCATACCTGTTTTCACGACACATTTACCAAAAGTTCTTGGGAGCTTAGACCAGAAAATTGGACAAAATTTATTCACAAAACATCTGCTAATGAGACTAATGTGCTTAGACTGGAGCAAGTAATTTTCGAAAATAAACGCTGGAATGGTTTTTTGTTGACCGAATTCGATCATCAGCGCAAAGTTATTCGTAAAAATTTAGCCGGTTTTTTACGCCGGACCAAGTGCAGCCATTACCACATCACGCTCAATTGGTTTGGTAAAGATCTTGATCCGATAGACATCGTAGTTGGAAATTGGAATTAATCACTGTTTAAACGGTGTTGCTTGTTTTGACTGCTTAAAATTGTGATGACGATCCCATATAAATTAAAAGACAAAATCATTTGATCGAAAAAAAACAAAAAGAAAAGCAGCATTAGTAATCTTGGTGGTATATAAACCAGACTGAGTTTCAAACAGCCAAAGTATCAACCAGCCGAAAATACGTAAGTGTTATATAACAGTTATGCACCAATTATGTAACCGTTACGAAAGTTAGCAAATTTCATTCATACGAATTTATGCAAATTTCATTCATCATATTTTTATTCATAACCTTTTCGGCTGGTTTATATACTCTGCGCGCATTTTCGGTTGGTTTATACTTCGACTGTTTTATTCACACTCAGTAATCTTACCCGTTTCCAGTGGCTGTCGCCGACTGTGCACCTGCTGCAGTGCCAACAGCACTGGCTGCCTTGTACTTGAGGAGGAAGAGGACGAGGAGGAAGATGGCGGCGGCCACGAGCAGTATGACCACTATGCAGATAACTGCCAGCACTATGGCAGCGTTGTGCACAGCCAACCCCATCAGTCTAGCAGCTGAACAGGCAACAATAGTTTTTAACTAACAGGTGTGCTGTATTGACAGCCCCGGGTTTTTATATAGTCCCATCAAAACTAATCATACAATTTCTATAATATAGAAAAAAGATAGCCGGTTGCTATCGAAGTAACGCAGGGTTACGTAGCAGTATTTAGGCAACCGCGCGTTCCTACTCGTCAGTAAGCCGACAAATATTGTATTAACCAATCAGAATCGAGACAAGGAAGAAATTAAAATTTACGCCTTTATTTCGTAAATTTGCTTTCCAATTTCGATTCTGATTGGTTAATATGGTATTTGTCTGCTTACTGACGAGTATAAATACGCGGCTGTCTAAATACAGACCGCATTCCGTAACGCAGAATGCTTCAAATGCAACTATTGACAAAGAAAAAAACTCAATTTAAGAAGAAAAAAACAGTTTTTTCTAAAAAAAAAAATCGATTTTCTCAAGTGGACTTTTTTAGCATATGTGGACTGAATTAGGTACCAAATAGCCAGCAAAAAAATTGAATAAGCCCAAAGGAAAGTTTTTCGAAGAGAACAATAAATCACGTTTGAGCAAATTTAATTTCATGAATCTTCTATGATTGACACCTTTTTCATTTAAATAATCCAATTAAAGATCTTAAATCCACTTTTCAAAGTAAACAACATCAACGTTATTTCGTAACATTTGCAATTTCGTTATTTGAGAGCGCATTTTGTTTGCCTTGCATGATTGACAAAGAAAATGAAGACCAGTTTCAAGCGTTAATAATCAATTATAATAAAATTTTAGTACCAGTCCAACAAAAATTGAGTAAAAATTGATTTTAATCAGTTAAAAACCGATTACAATCTTTCTTTTTGAAATCAAATATAACCAATTATAATACATTATAATCGATTACCTTTATCCGAATTTCTTATTCTTTTGTTTTGCAAAAAAAATCCATTATAATCGATTATAATTGTTTATAATCCCTTTTGTTTGCCATTTTGTCTTCGACCTTGCACTTGAATTGCTTATATTTTAAGATTTTCGTAGACGTTGGTTTATGTGAAAAATGGGAAAATTGTTTTAACTGTTTTCAAATTAAATCAAAATTATAACGTTTTTTTAATTTTTTTTTCTTGATTATAGTTGTTTCATGATGCACATTCCAAGTTTTTTTCACCACCAAATTATCAGCACACAGCTTTAGTTTCATGATTTATATAAAAAATATATATTTCCCCTACCGCGGGATTCTTTCAACTACTATGAAGGGATCTCTATAAAACTTTGGTTTCGTGGTAAAAGTTTGTGTTCAGATGAACCAAAGAAAGAGAAGATCTCTCACTTTTAGAACTTTTTGGCTGAAAAAAGGATTAGAATCTATTATAATAGATTATAAAAGATTATGAGAGATTATAAAAGATTATAAGAGATTATAAGATATCTTCGGAAAAATTAATCAAATATAATTTATTATAATGTCACGAAAATTGTTTTCACTATAATGGATCATAAATCGTTTAAACATCTGAATTTGGCGCTTATAATTAATCATAATGTTGTTAAAAGTACAATTATAATTGACATGTAATCGATTTTTTTCTCTTTTTACAGAGTGCGGAAAACAATTTTTTCCTGAAAAAAAAACTTTTGCACTTTTCCCTCTACATTTCAAAATTTCTATTTCCATAGTTTTCTAACGTATTATTACGGCTAAATGCGTGATGTTACGATGTGGGTATATACAACAAATTTTTTCACGTGAGTGAGTTTGTTCACTATGCCATAATTCATTGCATTATGATAACGATTAGATGGTTTTTCAGAACTTTCAAATGTGGGGGGTGGGGGATTGGAAAAGAGCTAAAAACTTCAAGTATACAAGTGAAATCACTGTATCCATAGACTATTATAAGACCAAAACGGAACAAGTATATTTAATATTTAATCTAGACTGAAAGTAATCCCAAAACTTTATATTGTGATATTCATACTCACGTTTTTTGTATTTGTAGCCAATTTCAGAAACTTTTGCTGTCTCGTTTGCAGATATGGTTCCGTCATAAACTGTATAGATCTGTTGAAACAGCAGAGCAAAAATTATTATTAGTGAAATCATTTATCAGGAATGAGAGGACTAAAATAAACCACTGAACCACCGTTATAAACCACCGTTATAACTATCTACGTTCCTTTTCTTTCTTGGTGATTCGGTGAAAACAATGCATCACCTCAAGTAACGAGCACAGATGATGGTAGGGCTCGAACCACCAACCTAATGATTGCGATGTTGGACATACGCATTAGTCATTAGATCTTTCTCTACGAAAGCGAACAGCTGTTATGCATTGTTTTTTCTTATCTATTGGTTTTTCTCATCTATATTTTCCTAAATTAAGAATGAGATTGACAAAAATTGTAAAACGCTCGAGTAATATATTCCTAGTTTCTGCTTTAAAAATTATTTGCAAAATAATTGATATCTAATAACAGCTTCCAGAAGCTCCTCGTTAACTCATATATATGCTTGGGCAAAAACTTGGATCAAATCGTGTCTTTGTGTTTTTGGTTACCATAAAATTGGGAAGGCTCATCTAAAAGAGCTATCTGTAGCATTCTGACATGAACATGCGAGTCCGGTGCTGGCCAAATTGATATGGTTGTCAAATATTAATTCGTATTCGTTTTTCGAGAGATATCAGCGCTTATTTCCTTTTAATATTAACTAGTTACAACTTAAACTGAGAAGTTATTGAGAAGAACTGAGTTATAATAATTAAGTTTTACCTGAATTATGTGGTGAGTCCCGTCGTCGGGCAAGTCAGCGAATGTCATGAACACAGTTGGTGCTACAATGGAGGCGTCGGAGGGGAAGAAGACGTAGTCGGTGGACTCGAAGTTGATGACTGGGGTGAAGGTGCCCTCCTCACTCACAGGGTCAGAGGTCAGGGGGCGGTTGGATCTATCATGCAAATCGATCAAACTTACTCACTATTGGGATCTATAGTTAATGCCAAATTGTTGGCAATATCTTTTCGGTCAACGAATCTGTGCGAAGTTGATTAAACTAAAACTGCTCATTTTGACCTCGGATTTCTGTTTTTCACTGATTTCCACCCGAAAAAACAGTATCCACAAACTAATTAGCCTAAAATGCTGTAGTTTTTGACCGATTAAATTACTCATGGTCACCAACAGACAGTTAAAAAAGGATGAGATGAAAAAAACGACTGATTTTTAAACACATTTTATACACATTTCAAACATGGCCAACAAAAAATTCGAAAAAAGGTCAAGGAACTCAAGAACTCTGCAATAGGTGATAGCCGTTTGTTAAACATTTTTTAAGATTCGAATTTCAAAGGAAAAGTATATCACGTTGAGCTCTTTCAGTTTCGAGAATCTTTTATGATTGAAACTTCTTTCATAAAACCAACCCGCTGGAAAATCTCAAAATTAAAATTCGCTTCCCGTTTTTGGCGCCATTTGCTTGTTTCCAATTGGAGACTTAATTTTCTTTTTTTTTGCAAATGATTTTGACCTGATCTTGAAAAGAAATCAAAATTCAAACCGCGAAAAAAGATATTTTTTAGCGTCATCAAACAGGCCCCAAAGGATTCTGCAAAGGATTCAGCAGAATTTACAACAACTGGCAGAAATCGGCTAATCGAGCCAAAAAATTTAAAGAGCAACTGATAGAACAAATTTTCAGTCATACGGCATAATTTGTAAACTTCTTTAAAATCTTTTTAAATTAATAAAATGAAAGCTTCTATTTCTCGGAAATACCAACAACGCACCTATGCTCTGCCCGACTAAACTTCTATCAAGAACTGCATTATTTCTCAGAAACACAAAAACGGATCCATCCGCGACTCACTAATCTACTATTTTGCTTCCTAAAAAAGCTCTGCTCGTTTTTCAAATTGATTTTTTTGTTCAAAAAAGGATAAAAACAGTTCTTTTTGTAATAAACATATATTTAAAGAGAATTTTCAAGAGCAGAAAGAGCAAAATTTTTTCTATGAAGCAGCAGAAATATTTGAGGTCGGGTCACTTAAGACGTTTTTCTGAAAAAAAATTAACACTATCTTTATAATCGTCCACTGACTGTTAATTAGTTCCATATGTCTTGACAATCAAAATAATTAACGCATAGATAACTTCTGTCAAAATCTTAATCGAATATATTTTAAGCGAATAGTTCAAAACTATTAACATAGAAAAAACGCCAAATATTTTTTAAAATGCTCAAAACGTCATTTTTAGCCTGAGTTTTCAAAGTTCTTACAAATACACTCGCTTCGCAAGTGTAAATAGGTCTGCATTTGTTTGGATCCTGAATTAATGCTCACTTTTGCGATTTACCCGCAATGGAGTTTCCTGGATTATATTGGACTTTCGATGTTAGTCTTTCTGAAACTCGAAATCAATCGATTACATTCGATTAAAATTGGATAGTGATTTTCTTTCTAGAAGTCGTCTGATTTTTTCAAACACAGTGCAATATACTCAAAACGCAGTTGCGTGACGAAGGGGGAGGGTGAGGATTGGCGTCGGCCCCCAATTCTGGTTGCCAAATTTTTCCAAAGAGTCCCACCTTTGCTACAATTTTACGATATCTATTTATGGCTGGCCGGCATCAAAAATGTTTTGAGGCACCTTCGGCGTCAATTTGACTGAATTTGAGGGGAGAGTGCGGGGCGAAAAAACGCAATTTTTGGGTCAAATGTTTCTTAAAATGCTGAAAACATCATTTTTAGCCCGATTTTTCAAAATTTTGCCTGCGGTGCAGAAAATTTCTGACAAAATAGAGTCCTTATAAAATTTTCGGAGAGCACGGAAAATCAAAATCAACATAAAAAAGGCCGACAACTTTTTCAAATTTATTTTCGAAAAACCGCCCTCCCCCTAGAAAAACAAAAATGCCTGTGCACGCCACTGTCAAAACAAATTTTTTTTTGACTCGACACTTTGTATTAGATGAAGGGAGATTTGCTCTTGCTTAGATGATAAATATCTTGTTTTCAATTTTTCTCTTCACAAACTATATAAATATTTTTGTCTGTTCACAAGCTAATTTTTCTGTTCACAAACTGTATAAATATTTTTAGTTTCTATTTTTGCTGATCTCTACCTACCCTCCCTAATCCAAGTTACATGCGTTTTTGTATCTCTAGCAGCAACATTTGACCCCCACGTTTAATCTCACATCCAAGTTTAATCCTACTTCAATGCCCCCCTTCGCCTTTACAACCCTTTCCACAATAGCGTGCCGAGTGGGGGCGACCGCCCCTTCTCTCAATTCTGGTTGCCAAGTTTTTCTAAAGGGTCCCCCAATCTCAAAATTTTTCTTAAATTCAAAAACTTTTGCTTGTTTTTTGAAAAATTTGACTGCGGCGCAGAAACTTTTTGACAAACAAAGGTCTTTTTGTATTTCGGAGAGCTCGGAGTTGATGCGTTAGTACCAATTGGTTTTCTTGCCGCAGAAATTTAGGAAAAGTGTTCAAAAGATGAGAAAAAGAAAATTAAAATGCTGTTTTAAAATGCTGTTTTATTTTTTCTCCAATATTTTGTAGTACAAGGTGCATTGATTCACAAAAAATGATGTAATTTTTGAATTGGTAAAAAAAACAAAGTCCAAGCTCCAGTAAAACTGGATTGGGGGCACAGTCTCATCCATTCATCCACTAGCGGATTTGTTTTTTTTGGGAGGGGGGAGCTCTTTTTGAGTGGTTCAAAAAACGCTTGCTAGTAGATAAAATTGCCTCAAAAGTTGCACTTAAATGTATTTTTTCGACTTTATTCAAACAAGTTGGCATAACTCGGTGAGTATCAGACTTAATGGATCTCGGTATTTTCATGTTGTAGTCATTTGAAAATGTCAACAAACATTGCTTCGAAAATATCTGTTCAGTTTAACCGGCGCTGAGATGACTTATTGACATTTTTTTGAATCCGGATCACAAGCAGTAATGATTCATTGTGACACCACACTTAAACCCATACGAGCTTCCCTTGAGGTAACTAAAATAGGGCAAAAAACCAGCCCTGCCCCAAAGTTATATATAATATATAATATAACATTATATATTATATAGATAATAAACAATTTTGAACAACGCCTTTTAAAATTGAAGCACAGCTAAGGCTTTTGGGACTACGATTGTTCTATTGATTGCTTGTTTTAAGGATTTTTCAAAGTTGACTGAAATTTCAGTGACTTTTGACTGAATCAAACTTTGATTGCATGGCACAATTTTTTTATCGTCTTAAAAAAGTTATTGGATTCGTGAAATCCTCAAATTGTAGTCGATTTCATAAGCGTTCAATTATATAGTCGTTTAAATAATTAATTAATAATTTGTTGAAAGCGAAAAGCGTTGGGTTGAGGATTTCATCAATGAATAAGGCACTCAAAATAACTTATTCACAAAATCGGTCTAATAAATATCTATTATATATACTTGACGAGTAGTTTAGAGATGAGGCCTTCTGCTATGTCTACTTCCACCACGAAGTCCGTCTTGCTCGTAGTTGAATGCCGAGTCAGTTTCGGCTGGGCGGGAGCTGAACAACAAAACACGAACATTCTCATTTGTTATGCAAAAACTCGCATCATTAAACTAGATGGACACTTCTTTTCCTTATTAGAATACCAAAATTCTAATCAAAATAACAAAACACCAGAAATCATAGTAAAAAAATGTTCGGTGAAAGACGAGACAATGAACTTAATCGGCATTTATGAGAGACAGTAAAGCAAACAAGCAAAAACAAGGTGCCCAATTAGAAAAAAATTATTAGCCGAATTTTAAATCACTGTCTGTTCCAGCAGTTAGTCTTATTTTCTTCAGGTTTGAGGGAAAACAATGAGCGAAACAATTATTCGTTTGCCACCTAACTTGCTCAATTACCCGCCAAAAAGCCTCCGCTTTGTTTGTTTTGCTCGTTAGAAGGTTCACTGGTGGTGTTCTTTAAGATGGAGGGCCGATCAAATTATGGAAAACTATTTTCTGTCATTTTTAGCCAATTAGAAATGGGCACTCAAAAATCTCAAAGAAATTGCGAAGATTTCAAGGTAAGCAAATAAATCCAGGCCATAAAGATAAATACTGACCGATTACAAAATTAGCAGATCAGATTGCAGATAAAAGAATTTTTCAAACATTGCCAGATCCAAAACCTACTAGAAAAAGTCTAATTTATTACAAATACCAATTTAAGAGAAATTGAAAACTAAACAAGAATAGCCTGTTATCGAGCAAGTAGCCCAGAATGTCCCGACTATAGTTTTAAAGAAACACATATATTTTTTTCAAAATAATCATCGGAGAGTGTTGAGTGATATAACATTTTAAGCCTTTTCAGTCATGATTCGGACATTGATAAATTTTGGAAAAATTTTCCACGAATGCACTTAGGTATATATGCATCACGAGGCCAAGCTGTGCATTTTGTGCATTGTAAGCGGATTCCGCGACAAGGACGCTCCCTTTGGTCTTCTTTTGTTCTTTCACTTTCTTTGATCGTTCCGACAAAAATTAAACATGTTTAAAGACTTGTCTCTGGAATCCAGGAACATACAGACACAAAATTGTGCTCCTATCCAGTGCTTAGTTTGGCCTCGTAATGTGCATTTTTTGAGTTCATTTGAAATTCATCAAAAAGTGATGTAAATATCACTATCCAAATACAAACGTGGAACTGGCGCGAAAAAAAAGGAAAACGTGAACGATCTCTAGTTTCGAAAGTGAAATTTAATTCTAAGATCTCCAGCGGAATAAAAATTTCACGTGTTGATCCATTTACTCTCCACCCCCACACCACGTTTACCTGTACTACTTAGTTACCTGTCTTTTCAAACGGAAGTTTCCAAAAAAATAGTCCAATCACCGAAAAAAAATTTGAAAAATTTAATGCTAATCAAAGCTACAAAAGACCCACTTGAAAGCGATAGTTCTTTCATGTACGTGATTGTTTTTTTCCGGAAATATACTCCAGAAAATTTCCCAATTTCTCAAGAGCGTTCAGAAGGAAAACCAGAACAAAAAATAATTCTGCTGGAGAGCCTAGTTTGGGTCCCAAAAGTCTGAAAAAAACTCAGACTGCTAATCCAAAACAAAACCAACAGACATTTGTCAAAGAGTCAATAAACGCAAGTAAACATAAAAAAAATACGGACTTAATTTGTGAAAAATCTTCAAGTTTCGATTTTCAAAGAAAAAAAAAAGATAGCATTAAAGCCCTATGATTTTCTAGAACAATTTGATTGATTTTTTTGATGAAATTAAAACGGTTTGAGAAAACTGGATCAGTAGTTAAAACTTTTATTTCGCTGGGAAAATCAATTTTTTCCACTTTCGAAACTATAGAAGTTGATCACGTTTTTCGTGACATTTACGCTTTCGCTGTTCGATGGCGGAGTTTAACTTTGTTTTAACAAAGGAAATGAACTAAAAATAACAATCAAGAGTCAAACCGCGAAAAAGTAAACATGAACCAGAACAAATTTGATACTTTTTCTGAAAAGAAAACTTTTAAAAAAATCATCACGGCATATCAAATAAAAGAATCTGACAAACGTTCATCGACTCTTAAAACAAGCCTGAACAAATTTTCGGCCAATTTTGAGATAAAATCTAAAACAACAAATTGTTTTCGTCCTTAACATTTATAAACATAGCTACCTGACATTTGGAGGAGAGTAATGAACGCAGGGAAACAGAAAAGAAGGACTGGTAAAGTATATCTAGTATATGTTTTTAAAGCATTTTGAATTTCATGAACAACTTATTACTGGTGTTCTTTGATAAATTAACCCAAGTTGAGAAAACTCGATCACTAGGTAAAATTTTTGTTCACAAACTGTATAAATATTTTTAGTTTCTATTTTTGCTGATCTCTACCTACCCTCCCTAATCCAAGTTACATGCGTTTTTGTATCTCTAGCAGCAACATTTGACCCCCACGTTTAATCTCACATCCAAGTTTAATCCTACTTCAATGCCCCCCTTCACCTTTACAACCCTTTCCACAATAGCGTGCCGAGTGGGGGCGACCGCCCCTTCTCTCAATTCTGGTTGCCAAGTTTTTCTAAAGGGTCCCCCAATCTCAAAATTTTTCTTAAATTCAAAAACTTTTGCTTGTTTTTTGAAAAATTTGACTGCGGCGCAGAAACTTTTTGACAAACAAAGGTCTTTTTGTATTTCGGAGAGCTCGGAGTTGATGCGTTAGTACCAATTGGTTTTCTTGCCGCAGAAATTTAGGAAAAGTGTTCAAAAGATGAGAAAAAGAAAATTAAAATGCTGTTTTAAAATGCTGTTTTATTTTTTCTCCAATATTTTGTAGTACAAGGTGCATTGATTCACAAAAAATGATGTAATTTTTGAATTGGTAAAAAAAACAAAGTCCAAGCTCCAGTAAAACTGGATTGGGGGCACAGTCTCATCCATTCATCCACTAGCGGATTTGTTTTTTTTGGGAGGGGGGAGCTCTTTTTGAGTGGTTCAAAAAACGCTTGCTAGTAGATAAAATTGCCTCAAAAGTTGCACTTAAATGTATTTTTTCGACTTTATTCAAACAAGTTGGCATAACTCGGTGAGTATCAGACTTAATGGATCTCGGTATTTTCATGTTGTAGTCATTTGAAAATGTCAACAAACATTGCTTCGAAAATATCTGTTCAGTTTAACCGGCGCTGAGATGACTTATTGACATTTTTTTGAATCCGGATCACAAGCAGTAATGATTCATTGTGACACCACACTTAAACCCATACGAGCTTCCCTTGAGGTAACTAAAATAGGGCAAAAAACCAGCCCTGCCCCAAAGTTATATATAATATATAATATAACATTATATATTATATAGATAATAAACAATTTTGAACAACGCCTTTTAAAATTGAAGCACAGCTAAGGCTTTTGGGACTACGATTGTTCTATTGATTGCTTGTTTTAAGGATTTTTCAAAGTTGACTGAAATTTCAGTGACTTTTGACTGAATCAAACTTTGATTGCACGGCACAATTTTTTTATCGTCTTAAAAAAGTTATTGGATTCGTGAAATCCTCAAATTGTAGTCGATTTCATAAGCGTTCAATTATATAGTCGTTTAAATAATTAATTAATAATTTGTTGAAAGCGAAAAGCGTTGGGTTGAGGATTTCATCAATGAATAAGGCACTCAAAATAACTTATTCACAAAATCGGTCTAATAAATATCTATTATATATACTTGACGAGTAGTTTAGAGATGAGGCCTTCTGCTATGTCTACTTCCACCACGAAGTCCGTCTTGCTCGTAGTTGAATGCCGAGTCAGTTTCGGCTGGGCGGGAGCTGAACAACAAAACACGAACATTCTCATTTGTTATGCAAAAACTCGCATCATTAAACTAGATGGACACTTCTTTTCCTTATTAGAATACCAAAATTCTAATCAAAATAACAAAACACCAGAAATCATAGTAAAAAAATGTTCGGTGAAAGACGAGACAGTGAACTTAATCGGCATTTATGAGAGACAGTAAAGCAAACAAGCAAAAACAAGGTGCCCAATTAGAAAAAATTATTAGCCGAATTTTAAATCACTGTCTGTTAAAGCAGTTAGTCTTATTTTCTTCAGGTTTGAGGGAAAACAATGAGCAAAACAATTATTCGTTTGCCACCTAACTTGCTCAATTACCCGCCAAAAAGCCTCCGCTTTGTTTGTTTTGCTCGTTAGAAGGTTCACTGGTGGTGTTCTTTAAGATGGAGGCCGATCAAATTATGGAAAACTATTTTCTGTCATTTTTAGCCAATTAGAAATGGGCACTCAAAAATCTCAAAGAAATTGCGAAGATTTCAAGGTAAGCAAATAAATCCAGGCCATAAAGATAAATACTGACCGATTACAAAATTAGCAGATCAGATTGCAGATAAAAGAATTTTTCAAACATTGCCAGATCCAAAACCTACTAGAAAAAGTCTAATTTATTACAAATACCAATTTAAGAGAAATTGAAAACTAAACAAGAATAGCCTGTTATCGAGCAAGTAGCCCAGAATGTCCCGACTATAGTTTTAAAGAAACACATATTTTTTTTTCAAAATAATCATCGGAGAGTGTTGAGTGATATAACATTTTAAGCCTTTTCAGTCATGATTCGGACATTGATAAATTTTGGAAAAATTTTCCACGAATGCACTTAGGTATATATGCATCACGAGGCCAAGCTGTGCATTTTGTGCATTGTAAGCGGATTCCGCGACAAGGACGCTCCCTTTGGTCTTCTTTTGTTCTTTCACTTTCTTTGATCGTTCCGACAAAAATTAAACATGTTTAAAGACTTGTCTCTGGAATCCAGGAACATACAGACACAAAATTGTGCTCCTATCCAGTGCTTAGTTTGGCCTCGTAATGTGCATTTTTTGAGTTCATTTGAAATTCATCAAAAAGTGATGTAAATATCACTATCCAAATACAAACGTGGAACTGGCGCGAAAAAAAAAAGGAAAACGTGAACGATCTCTAGTTTCGAAAGTGAAATTTAATTCTAAGATCTCCAGCGGAATAAAAATTTCACGTGTTGATCCATTTACTCTCCACCCCCACACCACGTTTACCTGTACTACTTAGTTACCTGTCTTTTCAAACGGAAGTTTCCAAAAAAATAGTCCAATCACCGAAAAAAAATTTGAAAAATTTAATGCTAATCAAAGCTACAAAAGACCCACTTGAAACCGATAGTTCTTTCATGTACGTGATTGTTTTTTCCGGAAATATACTCCAGAAAATTTCCCAATTTCTCAAGAGCGTTCAGAAGGAAAACCAGAACAAAAAATAATTCTGCTGGAGAGCCTAGTTTGGGTCCCAAAAGTCTGAAAAAAACTCAGACTGCTAATCCAAAACATAACCAACAGACATTTGTCAAAGAGTCAATAAACGCAAGTAAACATAAAAAAAATACGGACTTAATTTGTGAAAAATCTTCAAGTTTCGATTTTCAAAGAAAAAAAAAGATAGCATTAAAGCCCTATGATTTTCTAGAACAATTTGATTGATTTTTTTGATGAAATTAAAACGGTTTGAGAAAACTGGATCAGTAGTTAAAACTTTTATTTCGCTGGGAAAATCAATTTTTTCCACTTTCGAAACTATAGAAGTTGATCACGTTTTTCGTGACATTTACGCTTTCGCTGTTCGATGGCGGAGTTTAACTTTGTTTTAACAAAGGAAATGAACTAAAAATAACAATCAAGAGTCAAACCGCGAAAAAGTAAACATGAACCAGAACAAATTTGATACTTTTTCTGAAAAGAAAACTTTTAAAAAAATCATCACGGCATATCAAATAAAAGAATCTGACAAACGTTCATCGACTCTTAAAACAAGCCTGAACAAATTTTCGGCCAATTTTGAGATAAAATCTAAAACAACAAATTGTTTTCGTCCTTAACATTTATAAACATAGCTACCTGAAATTTGGAAGAGAGTAATGAACGCAGGGAAACAGAAAAGAAGGACTGGTAAAGTATATCTAGTATATGTTTTTAAAGCATTTTGAATTTCATGAACAACTTATTACTGGTGTTCTTTGATAAATTAACCCAAGTTGAGAAAACTCGATCACTAGGTAAAATTTTTGTTTCGCTGGGAAATCTGATAATAAATTCCATTTTTGAAATTTAGAAGTCCATCACGTTTTCCGTGACTTCTACACTTTTCCTTTTGATAGCGGAGTTTGCTTTCCTTGTAACAAACGAAATGATGTGAAATAAAAAGAAATCAGAAGTCAACCGTGAAAACTCAAAACTGATTGTCATCAAATTCTAAGACCTTTTCCTTAAAATAAAAAAAAATAACCAAGACCACAAGAATACTTACTACGTTCATTACTCTTAGTTAGTGATACCTTATTAATAGAAACTTGACTATGCTAGCAGGCGTTTGAGAAAGTAGAGTTTGAACGACCTGATACGAGGGTGACAGCTGCTGTGAATGAAGTGTCGCTGACCAGTTCCCGCACTGGCTCCTCCCCTGTGACGTCACACTCCAAGTAGGAGGAGATGGTGAGAGTGAGAGTTGTCTCAGACCCAGGAGTCATAACCGTCTGGTACCTGTCATCATGATGAAGTTTAAACGCATCAGACAAATAAATATTAAAGAAAAAAAGAACGTATTTCGGGAAGCAGAGTTTTTCTCTTACTCTGCAGTTTAAAAGATTACTAAGGTTTGTCTTGAAACATTTTTCGCAAAAGCCACATATTTTTTTGGCTAATAACCAATAAGGTTATAAAGTATTAAGGATAATCGATGACTGTACTTACTTGAAACTGGTGTCGAGCACACGCATGTTTGAGTTTCCGAGGCTATCTGACACAAAGTAGCCAGTGGCTGACCCCACAGCAGGGCCGTCCCAGCCCACACTCACAGCATAGCCATGGGAAGTGCTGATTAGCACCAGACCAGAGGGAGGATCGGGTTCTACAAAAATAAAGTAATTCCGTTTCGGAAAAACACTCGGTAAAATATTTTCCTGAGTTTCGTGCAGAAGAGGTCTGAACAATTCCTTTTTTGTAATAGAGGAATGACAAAATGAAATCACCCAAAAATATATCAGAAATGAATCCAAACTTCATTTTGCTCGTTTTTCTACCTTGTTCAAAATTTTACCCTTTATCATGAAATTCAATACCAATCCTCTTTTTCAAGAAAAGCACAAAAATCATTTCAAAAAATTCTCTTCTTGGCAATAACAACAATAAAAATATAGTCAACAAACAGTTGGAAAAAAGTCGATAAACATGAGTAAACAAAAAAAACTGACTTGTTTAAAAAAACACAAAATTTCGATACCTCAAAGAAAAAAATATTGCCTTCAAACTATTTGAGTTACAAGAACAGTTTATGATTGGCATTTTATGCTGCAATTATTTTCATATCAATTTGAGAAAGCTGGATCAATAGGTAAAACTTTTCATTTCGCTGGGAAATCTGATTATTAGATTACATTTTCGAAATTGAAAGTCAATCACGTTTTTCTTGATCTTTACATTTTCACATTTTAGGAGGCCATTAGGGCTGAGCCACTATCCAGGAAAAATACCAGCGCTTGTTTTTTCAACTGAATTCCTGAAAATTTCTTAAAAAAGACTCATTACAAATTCAAACCAAACTTTCAGCAAATATTAGGGCAAAATTGCTTATGCGAAAACCATTTTACTTGTTTTTCCGGATAAACCCTTAATCTCAGACTTGGCAGGGCACTTTTCATGAAAAGGGAAAAACTCAAAAAAACTGGCAAAAATTCAAAACTTGGATTTCATATTTTCTAGAGCCTTTTTCTTCAAAAGTTACATCGCACCAGCTCTTGCAGACAAAAGTCAATATTCTTTCCTTCCTTTGAAACCTTAATCTCAGGCTCGGCAGTTTAGTTTCCGAGAAAAAGAAAAACTTCAAAAAAATGGGTGAGAAAAGTTCCGATTGAAATTTTGGACGTCAGGTGAAATTAGATTAAGTCGGGTTAAGTTGAAAGATGCCAGCGAAACATGCAGGCAAACAGGGTGCTGTCGGTCTTTCCATTGGTACCATTTTTGTGAAAATTGTTGGACATCTTGAGAAAAAAAAAATAAAAATAAACATAGCCAATAGACAGTTGTCAAAGAGTCAATGAACGCAAATAAACAGAAAAGAAATACTAACTTCCTTTTTCAAAAAACCCTCAATTTTCGAGTTTCAAATAGAAAAAATAGATTCCCTTAAAGCCCTTTGAAAATCTAGAATAATTTATATTTGGCACTTTTTTGATCAAGTTAACTCATTTGACTTTACACTTTTGCAGCTCCATAGCGGAGTTTGCCGTGCTTCTAACAAAATTACGAACAAACTTAAAAAGAAATCAGAAGTCAAACCGAGAAAAAACTAATTGAGCCTGAACAAATTTTAAGACTTTTCCTGACTCCGTTCATCGACACTTAATAACGTCAACTCCCAAAAATTTCCTTAATCACTGTTTTAATCAAACAGGAACAAGCTACCATTGAACAGGAAAGTGTTCGTGAACTTAATAAAGACAAAAAATGAAACCAATCAAATAATCATACTTAATCAAACCACTACACTTTCGAAAAAAATGTCGTTTTAGAATGTGTCAATTAGTAATTTGAATTCCGCTTGGAAATCTAAACTTTAAAATCCATATTCGAAGTTAAACGAAAACACGTTTTTGTGCCACTAGCACCTTCGTAATTGGAGAGCGTAATTTATCTTCCCTTCACCAGATGAAATTAAATTGACTGAAACAAAAATCAAAAGTCAAACCTGTCCCTGAGTTTGATCCTACTCACTGGTGCAAATGACCATGATGTCGGAGGTAGGACTGGTCTCTCCGTACGCGGAGGCTGACACTCTGTACTCGTAAGTGGTGCCGGCAGTCAGTCCGGTGTCGTCCGTCATGGACTTGGAGGTGCCATTGTTGTCGGGATCCGAAGAGGCCACTCCATCCCGGTACACCATAAAGCGGGTGGGGCACGTCGGCGAGTTGTTTTCGTCGTCCCAAGTCAGAGTAATTGCCGAGTTGGAATCCGAAGTGCTTGAAGCCGGAACCCAGAATGGCGTTACAGGCGCTACATAAAATAATTAATTTAGAAAGTACTCGAGAAAAATTTAGTTCGACAAACTGCAATCTAATTAAAGAAGCACGTCAAAAATCAGCAAAACGTTACTGAGGCACTACAATTTCAATTCAAAAGGCCAAACTTCAGCAAGATGGAAAAAAATTACGCTTTTTTCCTCCTTTACTGATTTCAAAATTTTTAAAAACGGGTTTTGCTTTCTATCCATTCAATTGAAATTTTTCCTGAAAAATAAATTTCGTAGATTTAAGTTGTAGTAAACTTAAACGTATGAAATATAATAGTATCTCGTCTACAATTTTTTTTGCTTGTTACGAATAATCATCTGATGCGGGCTGGCGCTCCTGCGAAAAAATTCGAATAACTGCTTTCGCCCAGTTATCGCTTTCGGCGAATTGAAGGTTCGCCATTTTTATTTATAATATTTCATTGAAAAAATATATATTTTTATGAAGCAAATTCTTTCACTCATGTTATAGTTTTTATTGCAGACATAACAACACACTCACTTGTGTAGGCGAACACAAATTCGTTGGTAAATTGAGAGCCCAGAATAGATCCACAGCCACTCTCGCTGGAAGCATTGATGAATATCTGCTGACAGGCTCCGAATCCGCCAAAGTTGGCCGAGAAGGTCTCACCACTCGAAGCATACACCCCAGCAGACGCGTTCAACATCTAAATAAGTTAGTTCACGCAAAACTACTGCTAGTATCTTTTACTCGGTTAAAGAATGTAAATAAATGAAAGTTACCAAAAGCTGCTAGTTTTGACATCAGAAACAGAAATCAATTTTACCCTTTTATCCTGTAACACCGGAGTCAAAAAAATTAACGTAAGAATTACCGGTTTTTACAAATTAAGCGGCTCAAGGATACCGATGTTGCTTTATGTCACTTTATTAACACCGAGGCGAAGCTGTGCTTCGCAAACACTAGCGAAAACATGACAAAAAGCAGCTCTATAGTGTGAAATAAAACAAAATTAAAATTAGCCTCGAATTACATAAAAAATTCGGCTATCTCTCCGATTTGATCTGCGAATGTATATACGCTGAATCTTACGGATCCCTGGGTAACTCAGAAAAATAGAAGTTCGAAGCCAGTCACCGAACTTTTATATATTGCCAAAGTATTGGCATGAACTCATCAATTTAGTGATTAATTTGGACATCGGTTTGTCAACTTGCTGGTTTGCTACAATATCTTATATATGCCTCCTCGGTTTCTAGATCCCAAAACTGTGTTCATGCTTCTTCATGCTCAATTATTGATTTGGTTCATGTGAACAATCTCCCTACTTGATAGACCAAGTGAACAATCTCCCGCTAAAAATAAATGGCAAATTCAAGCCGTAAGGCCTGCATGTTTTATGTGAAAATTTGATTGATTGAAAAATATTACTTTTGTTTTAACCAAGTCAACTCTCTCCCCCTAAATTGATTTAGGGGTGAGGTTGTTCACGTGGTACTTTAATCTTTATTGGATTGCGTTATTTATTTCACATATCTACAACAAAAGGGGCCAAAAAAATTGTTGAAAAGTATAATATTGTGAACGACCAACCGTTGAATCAATGCCCTATAATATAGAAATTTTTACGAGGTACCATATGTGCACGGGAAAAGTCAACAAGGAAAATCTTGTTTTTTTTTGTGCAGAATTAGCAGTACATACCTCTGTGCGATTGTAGTTGCTGTCTGGCGAAAGTTGGAAGTAGTAGCTCCTGCTGAGACCCAACGGGGCCGAGAAGGTCACGCCCACTGTCTGGTTGTCCACTCCGAAGTACTCAAAGTCCTCCAGGTATCCAGGGTCTAAAGCGGGATTCATGAGTAAAACAGTGCCCAGTATGGTCTATAGTCACATGATACTAATTAACAGCTCCAAAAACTGACTATGATTTCAGCAGTTCATTTTTCTGTTTAACAAATGCTGAAATCTAAATGGCCATTGCATACTTTCGGCCAATTTAATAGTTCTGGCATCAGAGCACCAACGAGTTAGTATTATGCGAAAAAAAAATGCGGATTCAAGTTTCGCGACCAGCCATTTTGTGAGCAGCCTAAAAACGCCTTTTTTGGCCTGTTTGTTCAAAATTTTGCCTGCGGCGCAAAATTTTGGCCAAAACAGGGTCTGTTTACTGCTTTGGGAGAGCTTGAAAATCAATTTGGTCGACCTAAAAAAAGGTCGACAAAAAATTCGAATTTTTTTTCGAAAATCCAACCCCCCCCCCTCCCCTCGTCGAGAAAATCCTAGATCCGTCTCTGGAGAATATGACCATCTTAGTGTTGTGATCTTTATAAAACTCAACTGTAGCGGCAAAGAAAAATTGTGCAACTCTAACTTTTGGATTTTTCGAGCCATCAAAAATGGGAAAAATGAGGATGACAATGATGTTACCACACGCGAAGTAAAAAAATATATGCGTCTTTACAGGGTATAAAACATTACATACAAGACATAATGATGATTCCAAAAGTCCGTTTCGGTAGCTATTGATTTGTGCGCGTCAATCTCCAAGATTATATAAAAAACGGTTTTTAAACAATTTAATTAATGAGTATTTTCTCGGCAAAATAACTCCGGAAATATAACGGAAATTTGAAAATATAACGATAATTTTAACAAACTTTATCATCGGTAACATCGGCCACAAAAACTGCATAAATCAAAGCAAGCTGCAAAAATGGCCAGTATTTGTCCTTGAGACAAATTGCTCTTTTTAAAGGTCAGCCTTAATCAAGGCTGAACCAAATTAGAGCGAAAAGATGGTTAAAATCGGTTTTGGGGGGACCGAACCTGGTTACGGGGCATCCCATCAGGTTCGGTGCACATTCGAGTTCTAGAAAGGAAATGACCTAGTCGGGATTCGAACCGGCGCCGAACCCGCCGGGACGCACCATGTATACGCTTGGCTACTGTCCCTGTATGCATTTACATTTATATGCATTTATACTTTCGCACATTTACGTTTATATGCATTTGTACTATTGTTTTATATTTGCGCTGCAACATCCTCCACCCCTAAACAAGGAAGAACGGGAGCGAGCTTTACGGTCGGGCGGGTCAGTTCGCTCGTAACGGTCTTTATGTCGGCGGATCGCGCGCATCCGTCTTTGCCGTAGTGTAGTTTAGCAATACGGGCGAGTGGGTAATGCCCACGTGGGCTGTCGGGTTCGACTACCCAAACCAAGTCGCCGGTTTTCAGTGTGACATCCGAATCATTATGCCACTTTGCTCTCTTGTTGAGAGATGGTACATATTCACGCAGCCAGCGTGACCAAACTGCGTTAGCGTACGATTGTGCTCTGGCGTAACGCTTTTTATGATCAAAGTTATCTTCGAAACTTAACGACGGGAAGCTAGCTGCGCTGTGACCGAGAATGAAGTGATTCGGGGTGAGTGCCTCTAGGTCGTGCGGATCGGAACTGACCGGAGTGATCGGTCTTGCGTTAAGTAATTGTTCAACTAGGCAGAGCGTTGTTCCTAGAACTTCCTCAGTTAATCTCCTGCTGCCTAATATGTCGTACAACACTCGCTTAACACTTCTCACTAGCCGCTCCCAGGCGCCACCGTGATGAGGGGCACTGGGCGGGTTAAACTTCCACTTAACGCCTTTGTGGACGAAAACGGCCGGGGCGACTTTGTTCCAATTTTGGACACAGGATAGGAGCTCCTTTTGAGCACCAACAAAATTCGTGCCATTGTCAGAAAGAATGGTTTTGGGGGTACCTCGCCTTGCAATAAATCGCTCTACGCCCATGACGCAGGAACTAGTATCGAGAGATGGAACCAACTCGATGTGAACTGCTCGAGTCGTGAGGCAGGTAAAAAGGAAACCCCATCTCTTTTCGGTACTTCGGCGTATTGGCACTTGAAACGGGCCAAAGTAATCAACACCTGTGTTGGAGAAGGGAGGCTGCTTGTAACCCAGTCTTTCAATCGGTAGGTCAGACATAATGGGCACAACTGTTTTTGCTTTGCGCTTACGGCATGTTATGCAAGTATTTTCGATGTTCCCAAGTAACCAGCGCAACTTCAGAACAATGTATTTCAACTGAACTACAGCACGCATGTAATCCAACCCCTGATGTGCATGTTGAAAGTGCATATGCCTAACCAACATATGAGCAACTCGGTGTCGACCATCCAGTATTATTGGATGTTTGCTATCAAAGTCGGTATCAACAAGACGGCTGATACGTCCAGTTGAACGCAGGATGCCAGCTGGGCCGATGAACGGAGAATATTTAGCAATCCGACTTTTCTTTGTTATCAGTTTATCGGACTGAAGTATTTTCACTTCGGCAGGAAATGATTCGGACTGAGCGAGATAAATGAGCTTCTGCTCGGCAATATCTAACTCGGACGGGTCGGTTATTTCAAGCGTTTTTGTACGGAAGTGTTTATGCGATGGTAGCACACGAAGCATGAACGCTAAAACACGTTTGTACTTTACAATTGAGCTGAATTTATCCCAATTTTTAAACAGACGGATCGACGGCGCTTTCTCAGATGAAGCATCAACAACAAACGTAGATGCAGTCTCAAGGCATGTATCAATGTCACAGAGTGGGCCTTTTAATTGGATCTTTTTGATGACGTCAGTGTTCGGCTTGAATGGCCAATCACATGTCCTCAATATACTAGGGCCTCTAACCCAGCTGCTATCCTTGAGGGCTTCCGAAGAAATCCCTCGTGTGCCGGTATCAGCTGGGTTATCACCACTGAGTACATGATTCCATTGATCAATGGTGGTGGACTCCAAGATTTCACCAGTGCGGTTTCCAACAAACACAGGAAGTTTGTTGCACGAGTTAAGCCACTGGAGAACGGTGGTAGAATCAGTCCACATGAATACATTGCTTACTTTGAAAGTAAGCGCTTTCAAAATCTCTTCTTTGAGTCGAGTCGCAAGCAGAGCAGCCTGAAGCTCTAACTTGGGAATGGAGAGCATCTTCATAGGCGCTACACGGGCTTTCCCAAATACAAAAGCTAACTCGGTCTTTTGCGATTTAGCAAGTCGGGCTCGGAGAAACGATACGGCGCAAAAAACGTCCTGCGAACTATCACCGAACGTGTGAAGTTCACAGCGGTCGAACGGTTCGGTAAAGTAGCTACGAGGTATCGTCAGAGTACCTAATAGTGGAAGTCCTGAGTGCCAATCTAGAAATTGTTGTTTAATTTCCTCTGGGAGATCATCATCCCACTTTTGACCACTGATTCTCCATATGTCTTTTAGTAAAAGGCGCGCTTTCACAGTATATGGAGCTACCAGTCCTATTGGATCAAAAACTGAGGAAACAAAACTCAACACGGTGCGTTGAGTAATTGCTTTATCTAGTGGTCGATCAACACCTCTACTTACTACTAGGGTATCTTTTACATGATCCCACCTGAGACCAAGAACATGCGACGATTGGTCTGGACTCTTACAAATATCCTTAACTGACGGGTTGGACTCACGGTTGTCCGGATTAAGAGCGGCTGTAACTTCGGGTACATTGCTAACAAACTTTGTCAGGTTAAACCCACCTAATTTGAGCATTGCGACTAAGTCTTTACTTAGGCTAAGAGCGTCAGCGGTATTTTCGAACGAGTCAAGATAGTCGTCCATGTAAAACTTCTGGACAATGGCTGAAGCGGCTTCGGGGTATTCAGCTTGATTATCAGAAGCAGTTTTTTGTAGCGCGAAATTCGCACAAGTTGGCGAATCACGAGCGCCAAAAATATGACGGGTGTATTGGTGAACCACCACACTTGAAGTGGGGTCCTCCCGCCACAAAAAACGGAGAGACGGTTGATCTCGCGCAAGTACTCCAACTTGTAAGAACATACCTTCTATGTCCGCTGAGACGGCGTACTTGCGTTGACGGAACCTCAACAGTACAAAAATAAGATTTTGAAGGAGATCCGGGCCAACCAAGAGAGATCTATTTAAGGAAGTGCCATGAAATTTGGATGCTCCATTGAGCACACGGCGCACCTTGCCGGGTTTGTTCGGGTTCAAAACCGGATGGTGTGGAAGATACCACTCACGTTCGGCTCGTGAGCTGGGATCGTGCGGGTTGACGGTTATGACATATCCTTTACTTATATCTTCTCTGATTGTTTCGGTATACTTCTTGCGAAGTAACGGATCTTTATCTAATCTTTTCTCTAACGACTTTAATTGGGCTAATGAAGAATAATAATTGTTAGGCAAGCTAACATCATTATCACTCCACAGCATCGGTACAGTGTAACGCTCACCATCGTGAACGGTTTCAGTTTTTAGGATCGACAAAGCACGCTTGTCTGCGGCGGAACGGGCATCTACTTGCTTGAACGCACCATACGACTCTAACTCATACCAAGTTTTGATTTGGTCGGTCAGAGAAATATCGTCCGTAACGCAGTTAAAGGAAGAAGAATTTAAGGACGAACGATCAGGAGACGGACCACTAATGACCCAACCTATCGGAAGTCGGACGGCGCACGGTGAGTCAAGTTCATCTCCGAAGACATGTTCGAGGGGTCTTATCGCATGATAGAAGTCCTGTCCTATAACTATCTCAATCTCTTTGTAATTATACGCAGTCGTCTTTAACGGGGCTAGTTGCGGGTATTTGACCTGCAATTCAGAAACGTTTATAACATCGGGTCCTATATACATGTTGTGCTTAACGAAAGCGACAAACGAAAACGAAAATTCACTTTCATTGGGCTTTGCGGAAACTTTCAAGTGAACTCGTTGAGTTTTAGATACCTTGGCTGAGTTAAAACCATCGGTCGTAACATTTACGGGCGTGCCAACTAATTTCAGACGTTCAACGAGTGCCGCGGAAACCCAAGAATGAGTGGAACCGGTGTCACAAAGTGCTAGTGCATTCGAATTTTCCGAACCAGAGGACACATCTACCAACGCAACGGGAAGAATACCTTTTGCAGTTCCCTCACAAGGTTTAACGCAAGCTGCGTTGTTTGCAGAAGTAGTGTTTGTATTAGTTTGAGTCGATGGTGATCGGTCGGCCTCTTTGGGCGGGAAAACTTTCTCGGCTCCATGAAGAAGCACATTGTGAGTGCTCTCACAGTCCTGTTTTGGGCATTTTCTTGCCTTTTGGCACTTTCGGAAGGTATGGTTGCCTTGTAAACAAGAAAAACAGAGCTTTTGTTCTGCTACATATTTAGCCCTTTGTGTTGCGTTTTTCTCTTTGAACACGGAACAGTTCCAGAGTGCATGCTGCCCTTTGCATAGCGAGCATGGAGGAAACCTTGTCTTTTCTCTACTTTTCTCATCCTTAGAACTTACCTTAGTGTTACCTGCAAGCACTTTTGTAACTACTTTTTGTTTAACTGGCTGCTCGACTTTGACTAAAGATTTCAATCGCTCATGGCCTTCTGCCTTATTCTTAAGCCAATCGTTGAAGTCTAGCAATGTTAATCGCTGCCAATGTTGTCTAACAGTATGCATGGACCATGCTTCTTTTAGATTTGGAGGAAGCTTACTGACGGCTTGATTTAATAGGTTCACACTTTTCAAGTCGTCATTGAACGACAAAGACCTAAAAACAGCTACGAGCCCAGAAATCACCGCAGAAAAACTTATAACATGGACAGAGTTGTGCATCTTCAATGCGGGAAAATTCTTCATCTTATCCAAATGTGCACCAACTACAACATGAGGTTGCCCAAACTTTCTCTGGAGAGTTGCTAGAGCATCCTTATACAACACTCCACTGTAGCCGTATTCCGCAATTGCACTCTTGGCTTTGTCTTTAACGTGTGTTTTCAGATATTTGAGTTTTTCATCATCAGTTAGCATAGCCGAATCAACTGTTGCTTGGAACTGCCCGAACCATTCATACCAGTTAAGTGGTTCTCCATCAAACACTTCCAATTTCAACTCCGGTAGACGGTCTTTGCGGCTATGCAGAATGATGTCTGCTAACTCTCTCGCCGAGATGGGTTGTTCGTCGCTATTAGGCACGTAAGACGGGCCCGTAGTGGGCGCAGGATATGTAGGTGGATAACCTTGATGCGCTGTTTCAACAACTGGATGAGTTTGCGGCTGGGTGTAATAAACAGTCCCAAAACTTGTATAAGGAACTACGGTGTTTGGTGGAACAACAGGAGTTGTCACTGAGAAAACGTTTGAGGGCGGTGCGCAGTATTGAGGAACTGGCATCGTTTGCGCAGTCGCGGCAGGTCTCCACAAACTGCTATACGGGTTATAGTGTTCACTTGAGAAACTTGTTGGGTTGTTTGGAACATTTATAGGTTGATGGGATGGCGCTGCAGGCGCCTGATATCCAGTTGAAACGGGGCCGGAATGTGGCTGACTGACCGGAAGCAAAGAGGGAATAGGAACGGTTGACGGGACAAATGGTTGAATAATCGGAAGCGAAATGGGAATCGGAACGGTTAATGGAGGAACAAAAGGTTGACCCGCCGGAAGCGAAACTGGATTAGTAACGGTCGACACAGAAGGCGGTGCCACATTAATGGTGGGATTACCAAAGGGCATTGAAGCGGGAATGCTACCACTTGCTTGTGGTATCAGATTGTGATTTTGCGAAACTTCAGCATGAGGTGTTGAAGCTAAGTGTGGAGTAACAAAGTTTGAGCTGGAGGCAATGAACTGTGGTAAACTAGATGGGTTCTCGATTGAGTGCAATGACAGACGCGATTGGACGCAACTTGATCTCTGAGCCTGAATTCGATTCCTATTGTGGCCTCCCGGTTCACTGTATGTGGTTTGACCAGCGTTGACGACGGCACCCCCGCAGACGACGGCACCAACCCCTTGCAAAACATCAGTAGCAATCAAAGTGGAACTCTCGACTACTGGATGACTTTGCTCTGAGCTTGCAACAACTTCGGCCTGCTCTTGCTCAGTGACAACGTTTTCTACCCATTGTTCAGTACGTTGTGGGTCAACATGTGTTACGCTAGCATTTCCTATCTTCTCACTTGCTGCAGAAAGCTCTTCTTCCAACTCGAATTCCTTTAACTCAATTTCAGCCAGTTTCTTGCGGTGTACCTCAGCTAGTTCTTCCAACTCTAAATTACCTTGCTGTTCTTTTATTTTATTTTGCTGCGCTTTCAACTTCAATGACACCTTTGCTTGTCTCTCAAGTTCCTCCTGCTGCTTCTTCAAAACCACCAAATCTCGCCTCTTCTCAGTTGATGTTTTTGACTGCGCGACGGTATAGCGACTGGATTTATGCGAACCTGATTTATGATGTCGACTACTGTACCGCGACACCTTAGAGCGCGCATCTGCTTCATGTGAATCTTGTGGTTGTGTTGTTACGATCGTACTTAACGATTCTGAAACATTGTCAAGCTCTGTTTCCTCAGGTTCAACGTTTAAGCCAGTTTTATATGATGCAGCCTTCTGTAAAACTGTATCGTTTCTTGATGTAACCGTATGAAGCCACATATCCTGCGCTGGTATCAATTTATCAGGATCAACACTTTTAGAAGCTAACTTAATCAATTCCTCATTTATTTCAACTGCAGTCTCTATCAGGCTCTTGCAATTCTGAATCTGAGTGTCAATCTTTGATGAGCGACTCTGACTTTCAATGTTCTCAATTATAATTTCATGGCACTTGTACAGTTCATTTTCAAGCTTGGTTCGCTTCGCAAATAACCTTTGAACCCTCTTCTGAAAGTTCTCATCCATGGCTCTAGGGTCTATACTTAACTCAAACTATACTTAACGGTTATCGGGCGTTTGCGGGGCGATTCGGAACGGTTTTTGGTGAGTAAAGTTACCAATGAGGCTGGGGATTAAGTAAGTCGGTTGATATCAAACAACACACACGGAGTAAACCTGAGGATGAATAAAACCAACTTAACTTACTTAATATCACCTCCCTGACCACTTAGGATGATGTTACGGCGTACGAAATTTGTTGAACGGTCGTACGGCGGTGCGTCACTACTAATCGGCTAGTAGCTCGACGAATTACCAAGAGGTTTGGGAATTAAGCAAGTCGGTTGAAAACCAACAACACACGCGGAGCAAACCTGAGGATGAAAGACAACAACTTAACTTGCTTAATTTTACCGTCCCGGACCACTTAGTCAGTCGTTGCGAAACGAATGTTTTGAAAAGCGAACGGATGCAAACAGGTATCAAGTCGTTGTAAACCTTAAGTTTACCAATGGGGTTGGAGAATCAGGCAAATCGGTTAAGTTCCAACAACACACGCGGAAAAAACCTGAGGATGAAAAAACTCAACTTAATTTGCCTGATATTTCGCTACCAGACCACTTACCATAAGGTTGGTGTCATGTTACAGCACAGTTTCGCAGAATTATGGGGACGTTTCGACGATTTTTTTTTTTGGAAATTTTTACTTTTTTCCCACAAATTTTTCGGAAAATTTTGGTCAGCAGGTTCGAGTCGTAAACCAATCCAAAAAACTAGTCTAGTACCCCTTGTCTTTGATCCGATTTCACGGATTAATATTCTGTTCACAAATATCCAAAAATTTTTGGTATCGAGAAAAAATTACCACTTGTAGCTTGCTTTGAGTTGGGATACACAATAACACATCGTACGTAATTTTATTGCAAAGAATGGTTTGTAAAGATTAGACTAGTCTTACAGTTTTTGACGGTTTTGGAGATTGGCGTCACCGGGAAAAACCAAAAACTTCGGGTGTCGAGAAAATTACAGCTCCACTTTGACCAAAAGTCAACAATCAGGACACCTGAACAGGGCTCTCTTCCACTAGTCAGTCTGCTTTTTCGTCCGTCTGCTATGTCGTCTGTCGGTCAACTGGGTACGCTATGCTTACTTTCGGCCAAACGTGCACTTTCGGCCAAATGCCCACTTTCGGCCAACTGCTATCTGATACTTTCGGCCAAACGCCTACTTTCGGCCAACTGGTATCTGATATTTTAGGCCAAACGCCCACTTTCGGCCAAACTGCTTTCTGATATTTTCGGCCAAAGGCCCACTTTCGGCCAACTGGTATCTGAGTCTGATATTTTAGGCCGAACGCCCACTTTCGGCAAAACGCCCACTTTCGGCCAAACGCCCACTTTCGGCCCTCTGTTAGCTGATATTTTCGTACAAATCGAGACAATTTTTTGCCGACTCTTCTGCCAACTGAACAACTTCAAACTCTATTTGCACTGGTGTCGGCGAAACTGTCGTGTCCCTTGTGGGGCGCCAAAATGTGCGCGTCAATCTCCAAGATTATATAAAAAACGGTTTTTAAACAATTTAATTAATGAGTATTTTCTCGGCAAAATAACTCCGGAAATATAACGGAAATTTGAAAATATAACGATAATTTTAACAAACTTTATCATCGGTAACATCGGCCACAAAAACTGCATAAATCAAAGCAAGCTGCAAAAATGGCCAGTATTTGTCCTTGAGACAAATTGCTCTTTTTAAAGGTCAGCCTTAATCAAGGCTGAACCAAATTAGAGCGAAAAGATGGTTAAAATCGGTTTTGGGGGGACCGAACCTGGTTACGGGGCATCCCATCAGGTTCGGTGCACATTCGAGTTCTAGAAAGGAAATGACCTAGTCGGGATTCGAACCGGCTCCGAACCCGCCGGGACGCACCATGTATACGCTTGGCTACTGTCCCTGTATGCATTTACATGTATGACCTAACCACTGGCGGCAGATAATTTAAATTTTACTGTGTCAAAAACAAACTAAAATTGAGTAAAAAACTCATAATTGGAGAGCTTTTTTTATACAATTACATTATTACTCGTTTTCTTTGCATATTAGTGGGGCATTAAACTGTAGTGAATTGCGAGATTTTCTACCTGTACATCCATACATCGGGTCATACTGATCAGTCTGTCCATTTCCAGTTAGAGTGACGTAATCAGGTGTGTATTGGTAGGGGGCGGGGAGACTGTAGATTGTGAGGCTGGTGTCTGGCGGCTGCCAGAAAGAGCGCATGGTCACATTGTACGCCTGTCCAGGCACCAGACTGTCGATGGTGACGAAGTCCAGAGTCTCGTTCTTCTCGATTGTCGTGTCAGGAAAGGGAGACTCGGACAATTCAGTCACGCTTTAACGGTAAAACATAGTCATTCATGCATCCTTTAGTTCAAAACGCAACTTTGGATATAGCGAAAAGAGTGGTAAGAAAACTTCATGCAATGCTGTATGTAGCTGAACATATATTTACCGACAAAAACATAACTAGAGTAACCGGTTTCTGTACAAGAAGCGCAAAAAGACCCAACCAGAGAAACATGCATAGAAAAGTAGAAAAAAATAACAATATTTTCCAGGCAAATTTTTTATTGCAAGTTTGGAGATTGAGAAACCCGCTTCGCGACTTTGAAAGAACTTGTATAGTTTTTAAGGTCTCAGTTGGACTTACAGCGTGGCGGTGTATGTGAGTCCGCTGTCTGGCTGGGAGTAATCCACTCGGATCTCAGTCGTCGGGTCACTCTCCCCCGGCACTATACTCTGGATCGTGATCGGAGAGGGCCCTGCAATCAATCAACCAACCAATCAGCCAATCAATCAACCAATCAGCCAATCAATCAGCCGGTCGTTCAATCAGTTCACACAGGTCATGATTATACCGATACAGCTTAGAAACATCGAACGACCGATCAATAAAAAACAATCAAAACAACAAGAAGGTTCGGGTACCAGTTATTCATGAGAGAATAAATCTATTCGTTTCACAAAAAGAGTCGTTTCAGATAACATAGTGTGAAAAAAAGTTTGACCCCTTTGGTAATTTTTGAGAAATGTATTTTTGGCCAACCGACACTAAATTTTTTCTAAAGGCATCAATATATACTATTTTTGAGGGGAGCGCGCGCCAAAAAAAACGCGGTTTTTTTCGTCAAAACTTTCCAAAAAGTGCCCAAAAACGGCTTTTTGACCTGGTTTTTTTTTCAAAAATTTGGCTAAAACAGAGTCTTTTTTAGTGCTATAGAAAAGCTCGGAAAATCAATTTGGTCGACTTAAAGAAATAAAAAGGTCGTCAAGTTTTTCGAAAAATTGTTGAAAATAGCCCCCCCCCTCGAGAAAATCCTAGATCCGCCCCTGCTGATTGTCGTGGCAAATTCAAATGCAGTGGAAGAAAAACTTGTCATTTTGCCTATGTAGTTTTTTCCGGCTTTTTTCCGTAACTTTTCAAGTGTTATCGAAGCACATATATTTTAATTATGTGGGATTTCATTTTTAAGATATCACAGTGGAAAAAAACACATCTTGATCAAGTTTTTTCACATTGGGTAAACTTTTTTAGATAAAAAGAGCGGTCAAAACCACAAGCGAAATGTTAATTTCAACAAGTTTTAAAGTGACCGATTTTTCTTGAGTCGAAATGTTTTTTCAAAGTATCTTTAACTACCACTCCCCCCGTGACTGTATACTATCAAAGTATTGCTAAATTATTATAGACTCTGGCGTTTCAGAGCAATTCAGACTTCAAAAGTTTGATCGACTGAAAATTTGTCAGTCGTCTCGAAAAGGCGCCTCCGACTAAATCATAGGCACGCATGAGTATAAATATATAAAGATGTGGAAAATACTTGGTGTATGTAACTGATTTAATTCTTACTGGTGTAGCACGTGACTTGTCGCCTTTCCCGAGTCGTCTCACTGTCGAAACTCATCAGAACGTCCGTCTCGTCCAGAGTCGCATTTGCAGTAATGTAAGGGTAGATCCTGCAGAATAATAAAGAGCAAATAGTGGTTTAAATTGCCTTACTTCAATTGAAAACAATTTTTATGCGTAAAAGCCCAAGAAAAGTAGATGCAAAGGAGTATCTCTCAAACTTTTAAGAGTCTTTGCCCGTGCTGACAAGAAATGTTGACGATTGAAATCGATTTATACACGAAAAAAAAACGGTTTGAATCGATTTAAAATCGATTTGCTTTGATACAAGAATGTAGATTAAAAAATTTCACCTAATTCTAATTCAATTTCCATTCAAATTTTAGCAACTCGTTTCAGTTCTATTTTCATGAGGGTTTAAGCAACAACAAACACGACATTTCATTTCAATCTCGGCCATAAAAATAATAGAAGAAATTGGAAACAAAATTATAACAATTGTTTTTTCGTGCTGATCTTCGGCCTGAAAAGAAACTACGAGTAAAGCTAATTTTGTAGTATTGCAAAAAAGACACTAACTTAAGGTTTAAATTAGTTTTCTAACTTTCTAAATACCTTAATTTTAAACAATTCTTTCAAGATCGGACTCAAATTTTTCTGTTGCTTTTAGCTTGGATATTGAAAACAAGTATGTCGCCAGTTAGACTGACTGGTTTACTGTCATACCTTGAAAAACAGACAGCGCGGCAACAAAACCCCGGTCTACTTGCAATTCTAACAGAGGACTTCAAATTTGTATTTAGTTAACGCAGGTGCAAACCTGATAAATTGCCTTGATCTTTTGAAATATTATTTTTTGCTGCTAAAAAAAATCAAAAAGTTGCAAATGTCATTTTCATTAAGAGTATGAAAAAAGAGAAAAAAGAAGATTGAAGTCTATACTGCAGGTGCGGATTTTTCTCAGCCAGTGAAATAAATCAACCTGAATCTTTAGAATTTTCGTTTTCCCTACTCACTCAGTCGCGTTGATATATTTTCCTTTTTATTTACCACTAATTTTCCTGTTTAAAAAATTAAATTTTGAAAAAAGATAACGTTTCAGAACTGACAGAGGTAAGGGTCTAACGTTTTCCTTTAAATTAAATTTATATAACTTAATCCAAACACCCTAAACCTATTTTGGTACTAAAGACCGTTGTTATTCCATTTATAACTCATTTATAATTGTTTATTCAATACTTTTAATTTATCTCTCAAAATGAAAATCATTTTAACTATAGGAACAGACCTATGATAATATCTAGTATGATACTTATGCTTTAAGTTTGTTACAAAAAGAAACAGAAGGATCTATCAATTGACCTCATCTTAGTAAAACTGGTGGCAATTAAGCGGAGAACTACCCCTTGAAACATTAATGTCTGAAAAACAAAAAAACCAAATTTAGCTAATGCAAAAAACTAAGATGTGAGTTTCTGTTAGTCAATTTCCAACTCCAAAAAGTTAGAGACAGAAGTTATAGGTCCGTAATTTAGGCCCCGCATTTCAATTGATCACCCTATTGACAGACAGTTCCTGATAGGGTTAATAGTATCAAAACTTTCTCTATTGCTCATCAGTCTATGACAGCTCTCTGCTAACTTTATCTCATGAGAATTCAACTTTTTTTAAGTATAAATACTATGTAATCAAAAAAAGGAAACGTTCTCGACCAAACCAACTAGTATAAAAAAAGGTTTTGACATTCTAACGATCCTTTTAACCAAGATAGCTTTATAAAATAAGTTAACCGAAGTATCTACATTTTTATCATTTAATCAGATATTCAGAAAAGGCTCGAAAAACTTATTAAACCTTTAAACTTCTTCTGAAAACGGAGTTAAGAGGTCCTGTGTGCAACCTAAGTTTACTCTAAAGGATTCACAAAAAAGATTTCTCCTATGATTTGCATAATCAAACCTGTTCTAAAATGAAATTCAATCTCAACTTTTCCTGGTACAGTTGTGCTTTTAATCGATTTTTACATTTGTGAGTTTTATCCTGTAGCACAACTTAATTTAACTCTAAACTTAATTTTTTCATTGAAAAAGGAATTTTGGGCCCAAAATTGGAAATGAATTATCTACACCCAATAGGGCAGAAGCTATCAAGTGTGTTTTTTTCCGACAAACTTTTTTTGACGACCTTAATTGAGTGAAGTTCTTTGAAGTTAAGCTAAATTTAAATTAAATTTACCATATAACCAGACTACTATAAGTTAATTTAGTGAAAATTGAATTAAAATTCATCCATTTTTTTAAAAAGCCCGATTATGATAGATAAAACTCTCCAGAAAAAAGATAACTTGCTCAAAGTTGGTCAAAAAAGGACAATTAGGATAAGTAATCTCCCGACTAACCAACAATTCACACAATGTAGGTCGAAGATTAGCTTTTTAGGATAAACAAAATCCTAAGTAATCTAAAATGTACCCAACTTCAGTCAAAATAAGAATTAGTACGATGCGTATACTCACAATTATTTTGAAACTCGACCAAATTCGGTCAACAAAAAGCACTTTAAATTAGGTAAACTCCCAACTGATCCAAAATTCACCTGAATTTGGCCAAAAAAAGCAATTAGATATGTTAACTCCCAATTAATCTGAAATTCATCCACTTTCGGTCCAAACAAGGCCAATTAAGATAAATAAACCCACAAATCATATGAAACTTGCTCAATTTTAGTCAAAATAAGCCTAAATAAAAAAAATAAACTTCTAATTGATCTTATTTTTTCCTAATTTCGGTCTTAATAAGGCAAATTAAGGCAGTTCAACTCCGAATAAAAACCTAAAATTTACCCAGTTTTATCCAAAATAAGCATGATTAAGAACAATAAACATCCAATTTATCGTAAATTTTCCAACTTGAAGTTAATTTGGGAAAAATTCTAATTTAACTATAATTTACTCAATTTTGATCAAACTCGGACCACTAAAGGCAGAAAAACATTGAGGGTAAATAAAATTTGGCAAAAACTTGGTCAAAATGAACATAAAACAGGTAAAAAAACTTCCAAATTGTCCATAATTTACCCAAAATTGGGCGAAACAAGCCCAATTGAGATAGATAAAGTCCAGTTATACTGAAATTTATTACATATGATAATAGGACGCCAAACTAAGAGAATGAAAGCTAATTTAGGTTTTGAATAGTGCTTAAGATTTCACTCGAAATTGATAAAAATCGAATCCTTTTAGTTAAATAAAAGTAAATTGATTGAAAAATAACCCAATTTTGATGAAATTATATCCCATGTTAGAAAGAAACATAAAAAGGAAAAAAATAAACCAAATTTAGACAAAATAAGCTCATTCAAAGTAACCAAAATCAAATTTATTCTAAAACTGATCCAAATTCAGTAAAAATAGGCTCAATAAAGTTAGCTAAAACTCATTTCATCTAAAAGTAGTACAAAATTTTTCAAATTAAACTCACAAAGTAAGCTGACACAACGTAAATAAAAACTAAATTAACTTAAAATTAACCAAATCATTGTCAATTTAGGCTCATTTTTTGCTACTAAAAAAGATCTAACTTATAAACTTCATCCAATTTATGTCAAATTAAACCTCCTTTTAGTGGAAAAAACTGATTTCTGCTAAAATTAAGCCAAGTTTGCTCAGACGAATCTCAATCAAGTGAAACAAAATCAGATTTTAGCTCAAATTAATCCAGTTTCTGTCAAATTAATCACAATTGTTTTCAAAAAGTTAAGCAAAGCTAAAAACTAATTAACTTAAATCAAATTTAAAAACATGTAATCTATGAAAAATTATTTAAAACTAGAAATAACTCAAACTTGATTAAAAAAATTTATGTCAACTGAAAATAAACTTGATGTTAACACTTAAAAATTACGACTATTCAAAGCTTGGGTGATTCACACACTTTGTTTTCTATTTTTAAACTGATAACATTTTAATTTGACCATGCGAGTGATTATGTTCTATTTACAAAACCCAAACATTTCGTTCTTTTGCGTTTCTGTGGGTGGTCTTTTATAAAACTACCTTGAACAGTTCAAATTGGTTGAGAAGGTATTCCTGCAATACACAAATTAAAAAGATTTTTCTTGGACAAATGAGAACATAATTCAAGCCAAAATCTAAGATATGGGACGGTTGTTTTTGATAAAATTCAAAAAGTGTAACTATCGGTCAAAAAATCAAGAACTTGAATTTCCCGAGGACGAATACTTTTTGGGTAAGAAAACTTGTGAGTGGCCACTTATGGAGGCGAGCTTCCAACCACCTCTTATCTCTATTGAATCCACACTTTCAGATTTGGGACGGAAATGAAAAAAAAGTCAAAAATACGGGTCAAATTGTCTCAAGGGTTTTCGACGGCTATTGGCAGAAGGTTAAAGAAAACATAGACTATTTGAGTAAGCAGGCAGGCTTAGAAGACAGTAGAAGGTCTTTCCATTGAAATCCTTTTTCTGAAAATTGGTAGAAATATTTTTGAAAAGAGGTGAATTTTGGCGAAAAAAAAGATTTATTTGAAACGTCTCAAAAAAAATAAAACAAAAAAACTTAATCCACATTGTTCATACTAATTTTTTTTTAATTTAGAATTTAAAAAAAAACGAGCCGAGCAAGACATTCGATTTAAATTAGCAAGGCTAATGCGTTTTCTTCACCTCCAGGCTGAATGCCGGACACAAAAAAGACTTTCCCTACCTGGGAACTTGTTAGATTGAGTAGAAGATAAAGCTTCAGGCTGAATCAGGACCTATAATAAAATATTTTTCATGCCCGCAATTGCTGGTTTTCAGTCAGGTAGCAGATTGATATAACATGAACTTGCTCTGAGATCAGTTATCTCATTTGTGTTCGCGTTTGGAAATTATGTGCATGTAGCAAATGGCAATTTCTCCCCCTTAAACTGTAACGCCTCCAAAACAAAATAAGAATACAAATCTAAAAATATAAATTGTATCTAGTTTCATTATTTTAACCCATCAATTAGTTTCGATTGAGTTTGACTGCACGTAAAGGTTGGTATGCCGTGACCCCCAAAAATTTTCAAACTCGATAACTTAGCAAAATTTTATGGCAAAAAAAATGTTTTCAAAGTTTAAGCACAAAGACGAAGCTGCGCTTCGCAAACACGAGCGAGAAAAATGCAAAAATGAGCTCTAAACAGACAAAAAAAAGTGAAATCAGAAATAAAACGAAAAGTATTTAGAATAAACCTTCAGACTCTTAAAATACACCTTTAGAATATCAAATTTGAGGTTGGGAGTATCACTTCTTCACATCTGCTGCACGACCAGTTGTAGTTTCACTAACACTAGTCACCCAAAAAGCAGCAAAACATTCGAGCCAAAAAAGTAAAACTAAATTTGAATCTAAATTGAAAATTAAAATTCATTCTTCTACTTTACGCGAAGCCCTAGTAAATTCTCTGCTTGAGTAGCGGATTCACTGTTTATTTAAGGAGTAAACAACTACTTGCTTGTTCAATTGAATTTTTTATCTAGGAATTGGCTGTGAAATTTCGAAAACAAAAGAAAAAGATTCCAAAAAACTATCAGAAAATCAAAAAACTGATTTTTTGTAAATCCATAAACTTTTCTCCTGTAAAGCATAATAATAGCCTCTGCTTGGCCTAGCCTGATTTTAGACTCAAAATCTCTGCAATCTCATTTTTTAGATTGAAGCCTTAATATCAGATTTATCTAGTAGTTTTCAAGAATAGTGACGAAATTTCTAAAAAAAAACCGAAACAAGCCCAATTGAGATAGATAAAGTCCAATTATACTGAAGTTTATCACATTTGATAATATGACGCCAAACTAAGAGAATGAACGCTAATTTAGGTTTTGAATAGTGCTTAAGATTTCACTCGAAACTGATAAAAATTGATTCCATATAGTTAATTAAAAGTAAATTGAATGAAAAATAACCCAATTTTGAAGAAAATATCTCCCATGTTAGAAAGGAACATAAAAAAGAAAAAAAATAAATTTAGACAAAATAAGCTCAATCAAAGTAACCAAAAACCAATTTATTCTAAAACTGATCCAAATTCGGTAAAAATAGGCTCAAAAATAGGCTCAAAATTTATCAAATTAAACTCACAAACTAAGCTGACACAACGTAAGCGAAAACTAAATTAACATAAAAAATAACCAAATTATTGTCAGTTTAGGCTCATTTATTGCTACTAAAAAAGACCTAAGTTACAAACTTCATCCAATTTATGTCAAATTAACCCTCCTTTTAGTGAATAAAAGCTGATTTCTGCTAAAATTAAGCCAAGTTTGCTCGGACGAATCTCAATCAAGTGAAACAAAATCAGATTTTAGCTAAAATTAATCCGATTTTTGTCAAATTAACCACAATTATTTTCAAAAAAGTTAAGCAAAACTAAAAACTAATTAACTTAAATCAAATTTAAAAACAGGTAGTCTATAAAAAGTTATTTAAAACTAGAAATAACTCAAATTTGATTTCAAAAAATTCATGTCAACTTGAAATAAATTTGATGTTAACACTTAAAAATTACGACCAAAACCTGGAAGTAGATAGTACATTGCTAAGACTGTAAATTATTGTATTAGTTTATTATCATAACACACTAACGAAATCAGACACGAAATATTTATCATTTTCAGCAGTCATAGCCCGAATTAGACTCAATTTGTTGACAACAATATAATCCTCGTAGCACAAATCTTACATCTAGAGAAAAACTATTTTCATCAACCCGATAAACATCTGAAACGAGATGAAAAAAGTGAATATACCAACAAAATTACAAAAAATAAACAAATAAATATAACTTTTTATATGATTATACGAATAAACATAAGCAGATAAACAACTAAGTCAACATAAATGTTTACGAAAATTCCAAATGGCAAACGCGTTATCACAACCGGATTTAACCCTAGAACAATTTACAGGATTAGATTCAAATGAGGACGCTAGAGATTTTCACAATATTATAGAAAAAAGATAGCATGCTTCTTAGGCACCAGGCCAGGTGACAATCAGAACGCAAATGATGACAGACAGAGAACATTATTTGGTTCAATGTTAAGAGGTAAGGCCGCTGAATAAATCAGAGAACGTATTCTGCAATATACATATTAAAAAGATTTTTTTTGGACAAATGAGAACATTATTCAAGCCAAAATCTAAGATATGGGACGGTTGTTTTTGATAAAATTCAAAAAGTGTAAATATCGGTCAAAAAGTCAAAAACTAAAATTTTCCGAGGACGAATACTTTTTGTGTAAGAAAACTTGTGAGTGGCCACTCATCAAGGCGAGCTTCCAACCACCTCTTATCTCTATTGAATCCACACTTTCAGATTTTGGACAGAAATTGAAAAAAAAATCAAAAATACGGGTTAAATTGTCTCAAACGGATTTTCGACGGCTGTTGGCAGAAGGTTAAAGAAAACATAGACTACTTGAGTAAGCAAGCAGGCTTAGAAGACAGTAGAAGGTCTTTCCATTGAAATCCTTTTTCTGAAAGTCGGTAGAAAAAAAATTGAAAAGAACTAAATTTTGGCAAGAAAAAAGATTTATTTGAAAACGTCTCAAAAAAAATAAAACTAAAAAACTTAATCCACATTTTTCATACTAAAGGTTTTTTAATACAGAATTTTTTTTAAAAAGCCGAGCAAGACATTCGATTTAAATTAGCAACGCTAATGCGTTTTCTTCACCTCCAGGCTGAACGCCGGACACAAAAAAGACTTTCCCTACTTGGGGACTTGTTAGATTGAGTAGAAGATAAAGCTTCAGGCTGAATCAGGACCTATAATAAAACATTTTTCATGCCCGCAATTGCTGGTTTTCAGTCAGGTAGTAGATTGATTTAACATGAAGTAGATACCTGCTCTGAGATTAATTATCTCATTTGTTTTTGGAGATTTCAACAGTTTATGGTGGGTAAATTGTATTTTATAAATTGAAGTAAGTTCCCGATTTGAAATTAAGTGCATGTAGCAAATGGCAATTTCTCCCCATTAAACTGTAACGCCTCCAAAACAAAATAAGAATACAAATCTAAAAGCAAGGATTTACCTCAACCCAGTTTCCAGCCTCTGTAAATCGTATCTAGTTTTATTATTTTAACCCATCAATTAGTTTCGATTGAGTTTGACTGCACGTAAAGATTGGTATGCCGTGACCCCCAAAAATTTTCAAACCCGATAACTTAGCAAAAATTTATGGCAAAAAAAATCTTTTCAAAATTTAAGCACAAAGACAAAGCTGCGCTTTGCAAACACGAGCGAGGAAAATGCAAAAATGAGCTCTAAACAGACAAAGCAAAGTGAAATAAAGAAAAAAGAAAAAAATTTAGAATAGACATTCAGAAACTTAAAATACACCTTCAGAATATCAAATTTGAGATTGGGAGTATCACTTCCTCATATCTGCTGCACGACCAGTTGTAGTTTCACTAACACTAGTCACCCAAAAAGCAGCAAAAAATTCGAGCCAAAAAATTAAAACTAAATTTGAATCTAAATTGAACATTAAATTTGAATATCGACTTTACGCGAAGCCCTAGTACATTCTCTGCTTGATTAACGGATTCGCTGTTTATTTAAGAAGTAAACAACTACTAGGTTGTTCAATTAAATTTTTTATCTAAGAATTGGCTGTGAAATTTCGAAAACAAAAGAAAAAGATTCCAAATTATCAGAAAATAAAAAAAACCGATTTTTTGTAAATCCATAAACTTTTCTTCTGTAAAGCATAAGAATAGCCTCTGCTTCGCCTACACTGATTTTAGACTCAAAACCTCTGCAATCTGATTTTTTAGATTGAACCTTTAATATCAGATTTATCTAGTAGTTTTCAAGAACTAAAAAAACGGTAAAATTTTCAAAAATTGGATTTTTCCGAAATGCATATCGGCTTTCCAAAAAATTTTTTGCAACATATCAGACAGGGAAAATCTAAGCACTATGTTAGATCGAATAAGTAATCAATTTCAGAATCAGCAAGTTAGTTTTTGAAGAAAAAGAGAATTTTCGAAAAAACGAGCAAAATTTTTAAAATTGGATGTTTCATAGGGCCAAACTTTTTTCAAAAGGCAGGGCATAGTCGCTTGCGCTTGCAAAATTCGTGAAATTGGTTTATGTTTCGGTTAAACCCTTAATCTCTGATGTGGCAGGTTAGTGTTTGAGAAACGTTTTAAAAATTAATCAAAAAATTTAAAAGTGGGCTTGTTTGAGGCCATAACATTTTTCTACCAAATTGTGGGAGCGACCGCTGGAGAAAAGGAGATCCCCATGCTTTTTTCTTTCGGTTTTAACCTTCATCTCAGGTTTGAGCATTTAATAATCTGAAATTTTCGAAGGCCGAGTACGTGGGGTAAAATGAAAAGAGACTAGCGAAAATTGCAGGCACACATAAAAGCAGCCGGTTTATTCATTGCGACATTTTTTGAAAAACGATACACTAGCTTGTGAGAAAAAATGGATGTTTCTGCGAAAAGTGCAAAGCGTCACAAAAAAAAAACAACGAACCCCACCTATTTTCATAATAACTGTTTGCTATTCAAACAGGATCTAACACTAGCCAAAAATAAAGCAGCAACATATGCTATTAAATTGCCTATGCTCAAAGAGGATTAACTGTGATTAATTTGAATTATACTAAAAGTTCCACCAAATGAGCACTTGTTTGCGACTTAGCTTAGGAAAAAATTTCTTCTTATTAATACACTACGCCTCGCATGTGCAATGAGTGGAATCTCATACCATTAATTAAAGTTTGAATATCGGCGATGGAACAAAACGATACGTATCTTTCCCAAGTGAAAATTATTAGGAAAAGATTATTTTCTGGTCGGTAAGTCGTCCTAAGATAAGATTTAGTATCTTAAACAATACTAAATCTTTTAAATAATACTAAAATAAATTAACCTGACAGCAACAGCGCTAGAAGAGCCATAATCGTTCACATCTAGATTCACTTTATCATCTGGACAGGTCAGACCGATGGCCACTTCGCACGTATAGGCGGTCTTGGGGTTGGGTAGATCTATGAACACGTGCTCCCTACTCGAGTAGTCTTCTGGAAGAGTACTGTGCAATTCTCCGTTCACGTATAGATAAATTGTGGTGTTGATTTTTCCGTAGTCTGGGTGGTTCTGATTTTGAGCGTCCGAATAGTCGTCCACAGTCCACGTTACCCGGGTGCTGTTATGGGTGTCTGCAAACCACAAAATACTAGACGGATTCGGCGGGTCTGAAATCAAAATATAAACAGTCGTTCATTTATCTTTTTGCTTTCCATACCGACATAAGAAGAAAATTTTTTTTAAGATGTAGCCGTTGGTTTCACGAGTTTGAGCAATAAGAGACCACACTAAAATCAGTTTAAAAAGCTTTCTGCCAAATTTATACATTTCTGTCATCACATTTGGACAACGAACAGAAAATTCTTTTCGCTACTATGTTTTCAGAATTACTCTATTAAAAAACGACAATTTGAGGAAGGGAATGATATTAAGTTGGCCTAATTTAAGGCAAATAGTTGTACATGTGCATGCAGTCTTCTCTCGGAAGTAGAATGTGAATAGGTCATGCTCTCCAGAAATGTCGTAGATGTTTGTATGGGTAGGTGGGTAGTTTATATAGATTGGTCGCCAAGCTAATTCTCGATTGCTGCCATTATAATTGAAGAAGTCCACAGTGTTGTTCCGAGTCCCGTAGAAGTACTCGGCCTCCAAAGCCACTCGTGCATAGTCGAAGATCTCCACGTCCAGATGCACAACCGACACTTCGTATGTGTAAAGACTGGCAGCCTGCAGACCTGAAGAACAAATGAGTTTTTTCCTTTCTCCCCCCACACGAGATTCAATTTACGGAGTGACGTTAAGCAAGGTTTAGTAACAAGATCAATTACTTTTGACAAGACATATTTAGTGCACATTCTAATTTGCATTCCGAACCACACAAGAAAAGCATTGCAAGCTCAGAAGCAGAAACAGAAACGAATGCCATTGTTTCGGGCAATATATATGAAATCCACTTTTTCATTGAATTAACCCAATGTAAGAAATATGGATCAGTGGGCGAATTTTTTTATTCTACTGGGAAAACTCAAAACTAGAATCAACATTCAAAACTAAAAATCGATCACGTTTTTTCGCGCTATTTTTCCTTTTGTAACTGGAGAGCTCAATTTGCCTTACCAAAAACTTGAGATGAACTCAAAAAGTTAATATGTAAAAAATTACAATAAGTTAGCACTAATATGTAAGATGCATTTCTGAAGTTATTGAGCAGTTCCTGATAAAAAGAAAAAATTTGAAAGAAAAGAGATCAATTTTAAAACAAGACCAATCCAGAAACACAAATTATTGAGCGGCAACTGAGCTGAAAGAAGTTTCAGAAACTCCCTTTGAGTCGGAAACAAGATGGTCGTGAGACAATTTTGAAAATTCTGAGAATTTTTACGGATAGTCCTCTCGACACAAACAAACAACTAAAACAAAGTTTTCCACTCAAACGATGCAAATTCAAATCACGAAGCCGCTATTTCATAAGCGAAAACGATTAAAGTCTAAAAAAACTTTTCAGTGAAAAAAAAATGGAAGATACAAAAAAAGTAATTACAAATAGAAACTACAAAGTTAAGCATAAATCATGCTGTGGATTGCAGTATTATATCATTTTAAATCAATTGAAATTTGCCATAAACGGTATTCACAATAATACTTTGATGTATTCACTCTCTTCGGCGCGGAGAAAACTCGCTCACTTTTTAAAATTTTAACTTTGAGATTTGACTTCAGGATTGTATCTGTACATAAGTAGAATAAGCTGCAGCAAAGAAGCATTTCATCATCGCGCAGTCAAATAGTAACGAATCCACTTTAAGAGGCATACCGTTATTTTGGCAAAATCATACGGTGGACCCACCTATATGTTGTGGAGGTTTCATGGTCAGAAACGGGACAATGCGATAATGATGATCACTCTGTATTAAAGGTAAAAACTATTTACGATAACGAAGAGAAAAAACTCAAGAACTTACTAAACATCGGGCTCGGAAAAGAAAACCAGGTTACCCTCAAAATACAGGTCAACTCCGCCAGCCCTGTGAGTTTTTTCAATGAATTAAAACTACGAGACCCATACCTGAAAATTTATCCGGTACATAAACCGAAGAAAGATATATATTATGGAATCATCGGAAAGCTAGTCACTTCTATCTTTTCGAACGGATGATGTCACAACGAATGCTATTTTTTCTTAACAAAAGGCCACCAGAAAAATATTCTAGGAAACTATAATCTGCCAAAAGTGGGAATAGAAGTCTCTCAATCACTTTCTTCACTACCAAACAGACCAAGACGACTCGTAAATCTATAGATTTAACTTCCGCAGCCAAAAAAAACGAAAAAGAGATAGATATTTTAACCAATACTTTTAAACAATTAACCCTTCGGATTGTAAAAAAAATCAAAGAAAAATTAAGCACTTTTTATGAACCACTGAAACCGATTTAAATGACGTGTTTCCTTTCATTTACTCGATGCAGTGAAAGCGGAACTAGAACGACTTAAATCCAAAGAACACAAAAAAAATTAGACAATTGTGACAAAGATAGACTCATTAGCACAATCATTATCACTTGCAAAAAAGGACATATCGAGAAAATTAGCATTTGACTCGAAATTTATAAACAAGCAAATTTCAAAGAACAAATACCAAACGCCTAACATAATTGAAATAATTGAATGTTGCCAGTCCAATTGTAGCTTGTTTATAGGTGGGGACATAACCGGCACGTACCAAATTTTGACCAGTTTTTATGGAATTTGAGACAGGTCGAATGAATTCCCCAGATTCATGGACTCAACAATCGGAAACATTCCTTTTACAAAATGTTACCTCGCAGAAACTCTGGTGGCTTCCACAGGAAGTTTAGGAGAACACAAAAACAGTGTTTACAAAATTTTAGACGCAGATAATTTCGCCGTTGATTGGCCAAAATGTAAATTCGTTCAAAAAAAAAGTTGAAAGATTAGGATTTAGTTTTACATGAATATTTTTACGGCTCGGAACTTAAAGTCATTACTGATCATAAAACCCTTCTTTCAGCAATTTCGCCTGACCACGGAAACAAAATTGGCATAGCCGTCTAACTAGACGGGTCGATCAACTTTTATCTTTCATTTCACCTCAACACCTGACATGTAAAAATATGGGCTTCTCAGACCTAATTTCAAAAATCCCATCAGGAAAAGCAACCCCCCATCCCATTAAGACTACGATTTCATGTTCGCTACAATCAATAAAATCAACAAAACAATAAATCCAACGGACTTTAGAAAATTGAACTGCAATGCTATTGACTAAAATTTGGAAAATTCCAACTACGCAAGATTACATAATTATCTTATCGCTTTAGTTCTAAAACTCGTTAACTCGACTATTCCAATTTGTATTTTAAAGCACAACAGAACTAAACTTGTATTTGTATTTTTTCGGATTTTTCAAAATTTAAATCTACAGCTGCTTTTTTAAATTTTTTAGTTCTTAATTGTAGCCTAAAAAAATTTTAAGAAAAGATTAATGAAAAGTCACATTAATTAAACCAGTTTACTTTCACGTAATAAATAATTCTAACTCTACGAGCTATGTACAACTAATGTAAAATTACTTAAAGAAATAAAACTGATAAAATAGAGTGTGTTAATTTAAAATGTTCTAAAACGACAACTGAACGAACACTCTACGATCGACCGATGGTCGTATCGAACTAAGCTAACCGGTATTTAATTAATACCGAAGGTCATTTAAAACAGCTAAAAACAAATCACAACATTTCCCACCGGAGAAAAAAACTACCAAATCACTAACTAATTCTATATACACCCATTTTCCACCTTAAAAGTAGGATTAAATTTTTACAAACTGCGCCGTAAAACACATTTTGACGTAAAAAGTAAAACTAAAATAAAAACAGACACAACTCATAACAGACTTAGTGCCTCGTTAGAACAACTCCACGGTAATGACTGGAAAACAGTCTCCTTCGCTTCAAGATTTTTGACTCCGCATGAAACTACAAACTCCACAAATGAGATGGAACTTTACAAAGTTGTTTAGGCAGTCGAATTTTATATGAATAATTTTACGGCTCGGAGCTTGAAGTCACTACTGATCATAAAACACTTCTGTCAGCAATTTCGCCTGACCACGGAACAAAAATGGCATAGTCGTCTAACTAGACGGGTCGATCAACTTTTATCTTCCATTTCTACAATTAAACACCTGACAAGTAAACATATGGGCTTCTCAGACCTAATTTCAATAATCCCATCAGGAAAAACAACCCCCATCCCATTAAGACTACGAATTCATATTCGCTACAATCAATAAAATCAACAAACAATAAATCCAACAGACTTTAAAAAATTGAACTGCAAGGCTATTGAATAAAATTTGGAAAACTCCAATTACGCAAGATTACATAATTACCTTATCGCTTTAGTTCTAAAACTCGTTAACTCGACTATTCCAATTTGTAACTTAAAACACAACAGAACTAAACTTTGCAACTCTAAATGTATTTTTTCGGATTTTTAAAATAATAAAGCTACAACTGCTTTTTTTATTTTTTAATTCTTAATTGTAGCCTAAGAAAAATTTAAGAAAAGATTAATGAAAATTCGGATTAATTAAACCAGTTTATTTGAGATCTCTGATGGATTACTTTACATGGATGGAAAACTGGTAACTCCGTTTACCTTAAGAAACGCAGTTATGAAGACACTTCACGAGGCCCATCCGGGACAACCTAGCATGAAACACCTTGCTTGGTGTATATGGTGGCTTCATATAAACCGTCAAATTAATTTCCATGGTGTAAACTGTTTCGATGCACCAAAATTAATTAAAACGTAAAAAATATTATTCCTGGTACTCAACTCAGTAAATTTCCACCTTTACCGAAACATTATGAGGAATTAAATGTTGATTTTACCGGTCTTTGGATTGTAGTTGGGGAACAAACCAATATAGTTTTTTTTATGCATTGAAAGATTTTTTAAATTTCCCTCGGCTAAAATCACATCTCCCTTTTCATCAAATACGGTGATTGAATTTTAATAATAAAAAATAATAATTTGAGACAAAATCAAAATGGTCAACAGAAAGGTGGAAAAAATAATGAGTTTGAAACTTGCGCTTTTCTTTAAAAAGCGTATCACCTTGATGCTCTCTAAAATTCTAACTCTAACTAAATAAAAATGGCTCAAACGGAAAACAGACCATTTCGCTGGGAAATCCAAAAATAAAAATCCTTTAGCGAATCACAATTCCTTTCACACTTTTCGTTTAATTTCTTTAGTATTAATTAGTAAAATTGATTGCCTTCTTTTTAGCAAACGATTTTATTTTGAATTAAAAAAACAAGTTTCAAACTCAATTTTTCAGTTGGTATTTAAAATCTTCCATAAAAACATTTGATTCAGCTTTCATGCTCGTATTCAAGTATTGACTATATTTCGAAACGCAGATCAAGGTATTCTAGCGTTGAGTTTTTGACATAAGCAAACTGTTAATGAAAGTTGGCCTGGAAAATAAGAGCAACCAAACCTGGCTTCAAAAAATATTTTAAAAGATTATTAGCTCTCTAAAAATACACTTGCGATCCAACCTCGTGGCGAAAGTGCAACAAGGAACTATGGCTAAATTGTAGTTTTTGTCAGACTATAGGAGCGCCAGGCAACTTGATATCATTTTACAGTCGGACAAAACAGATTTTTTTGGGACAAATTATTTGCAATGATTATTAGG